AAACACAATAGAAATATTAATGAAATTCAATGAGCTTAGTTGTGCTCTGTTTGCTTATTTGCAGTGGGGTGTGGTAAGGGATTGGGAGAAGGAGGGGGAGGGATGATTGTGATGGAAGGGGGGAAAGGTGGTGGTGAGGTGGTGGATGTGGGGAGGGGCGAAGTGGTGGGAGGAAAAAGGAAGAGGAAGAAGGGTGGAGATGGAGTAGATATTGCGCGCTGGCGATAACGGGATAGCGTGGAGTTAGGGTTTATGGAGTGTCGTCGTCGGTAGACGGCCGGAAGTGAGAACCTGAACGCCACAGTGCGAGGTCAGGGCAGCCATGATGTGACAAATGCTGGCCCAAAAGAGATGTTGTCGCAGACGCTGTCCGCTGGCCACAGCAGCTGTGTTGCTCCGGTGGCTGGCCGATCGCAGCAAGACAGGGTCCGTATCGTGTATGAGTCTGTGGGATGAACCCTGGGCTCTAGACCGCTCTGGATGACTTGTCTGGGGACCCGGCCAATGGTGGTGGGATGAGTTTGTTCTCCTGTTCACGACAGGTGCGACAGAGGACGAGGTGGTGGCAGGCCTATCACAGACCGTCGTCGAGACATCTCTGCTGAATCAGCGCTGGAACGACCCGACAGAAGACTCGAAGGCGAGTTTCTTTTTCTGGTGACAGATCAGACCATCACCCTGCACTCCGCAGAATCGAGCACCTCCACCCAGCGACGGTTTGTCTAGAAATGGAAGAGAAACGGGAGGGTAACAAAAAAGTGAGGTCGGGCTTTATGGAAGAAAAGTGTCCAGGAGAAGAAATCTTGCCCGGCTGTCAGGGTCGGGAAGGAGCCTGTTGCCATATTCATCTTAGCATCGCAGGGCGATTGGACAGGCAGGTGCCAGCCCTGTCCTCCTTTGCTGCGCGCGACTTCGAGAAGGGGAAGGCACCATGTTCTGGTCACAGCTCAACAGGAAGGAACGTTGCCGACTCGCCGACAATTCGCCATGTCTCTTGCAGCCTGTATCACCTGATAGTCCCATTAAGTGGGCGCTTCTCTGTACTCTGTGTTTTATGCTTTATCAAAGAGGCAACAGATTGTATAGTTTGGCTAGTATCTCTTTTTATATTGGAGGATTGTATTGGTTCTGCACACATCCGGATCTTGACCAACGTTGACCCCGCAACATGGCTGACTGGATATAGATCATTTTGCGACACACATCGCGGAACGGTCACGCTGGCCAACGATGGCGCGGAGACAGGATCCAGATTGTGCTACACACCCTTTAGCTACCTCGCTCTCTCAATATCACGCCCCGGGTCACTCTTCGTGGTCTCTGTGGTCTGTGGTCTGTGGTCTGTGTGGCTGAGAAGCAATCGAATATTCTCCCGCACCTCAGTCCACCATCGCCGATCCTGGGCCCTGACAACTTCAAGTCTACGATCATATAACGAACAGGGGGAGACACACCACAAGCAGGTCTTTCAAGTTGTCTGGTTTGACTCGCCTGCCTGGCAATTGGTTGGGCTCTGGTATGTCCCCCTTTTCTTCGTTTCTACGGGCCTGGCTTCTGCTGGCATTTGAACTGAGTTATAGGTCTGGCGCTTAGTCAGAACGTCACTTTCGCCGATATATAGCATCAAGAATGTTACCTCTTCCTGTATGCTCAGCAATGATATGCCTCTCGACCCTACCTGGTAGCTGCCGCATAGCCAATGAACGACCCTACCACATTTTCAGCACCCCGCTTGCTGCAGGACTATCGGAGCTCTTCAATGCAGTAAGCTGATTCTGGCCAATATGGTGTGTCGTAAACGTCGCAATGCTTCAAGAAGTCGCAATCGTGGCGCGGTCCGACATATATCTCTTAGCTTATTCTCAGCATTGCTCGTCCACTTCCTCACTTTTTTGCCATCCCCTTCGCCGTTGAAAAGACGAAATGGGGCTCGGGACGACTTCACCGTTGACTGTGCTGGGTTGTGCTCTAGCAGTTCACTCCGCAGCTGCTACAGGTTCCCATCACTTTGCGACTGACAGCAGCACCTTCGACTATGTCGTTGTGGGCGGAGGGACATCGGGGCTAGTGGTTGCCAATCGGCTGACTGAAAATCGCCACAGTATGTCTGACGAGATGCAACAGATTTGTTTTATCATTAACACCACAGTTGTTCAGACACTGTCCTCGTGATTGAGCGAGGCTACTTTGACGACAAACCCGAGGCCATCATACCTTGGTATTCCACCGCCGTCGACACAAGCGTTCTACTCAACCCCCGGTCTGCACCAAATTCGAAGCTTTACAATGCTACACACAATGTGACTGTTGCAGCTGTTGTTGGAGGCGCAACAGTTGTCAACGGCATGGGATGTGACCGCGGAAGCAAGGCAGACTACGATGCTTGGGAGGAATTGGGCAATCCAGGCTGGGGGTGGAATGGGCTGCTGCCCTACTTCAAGAAGAGCACAACCTTCACTCCTCCCAACCCCGACGTGGTGGACCGGTGGAATATCACCTGGAATACTGCCGCATATGGAAAAGGCCCCGTCCAGGTTCATATCTCCAACTTCCAGTACCCTGACATTGATACAATTTGGGAAGGCTTCAGACAACAACCCGGAGTTACCTTTCCACCAGGGTCCTCTTCTGGATTTGGGCCAGGCGCGTACTGGTCAGCAAATACGATTGATGCCCGCGGCATGACCCGATCGACTGCACGCAGTGCCTACTACGACCCTGTCAACAAGACTCGCTCAAATCTGCGTCTTGTCATTGGTCAGACGGCGACAGAGTTACTGTTCGACCGCGGAAAGCCTTTGAGAGCGAAGGGAGTGCGGGTCGTTTCCAGTTTTGACGCCAAGGTTCGCAACGTTTATGCACGGAAGGAGGTCATCCTGGCAGCAGGAGCTGTGATGACTCCTCATTTGTTGCAAGTCAGCGGCATCGGTCCCGCATCGGTGCTCAAGGCAGCTGGTATCAAAGTTGAGAAAGACCTGCCCTCTGTGGGGGCCAACTTTCAAGACCATGCGACAGTTGTGCTGTGGTTCAACCTCTCCACGCCATCATTTCCCAACTCCGATAGCATATCGAACAACGCCACGTACAATGCGACCGTCTGGGAAGAATACCTCACCAACAGAACAGGGCCAGTCGCAGCTGCCAACAGCAACAGCATCATCTACTATTCACTTGCACAGGTCCTGTCACCTTCGGCTGCGGCCTCCGTAGCCTCCCGGCTCTTAGCACAGGATGCAAGGCAGTACTTACCAGCCATTTACAGCACCAGTTCGGCTCTTCTTCGAGGTTTCAAAGCTCAACGCGCCATTCTGGCGCAGCGATTCACGACCAACACATCATCATACACAGCCCAGCCTCTACGTGGCAACGGCCAGAGCCCGTCTCCGCTGCTGAAGCCTCTTTCCAGGGGTACCGTAACGCTCAACTTGACTCATCCAGAAAGTCTTCCAGTGGTACAATACAACACCTTCATAAACCCGATCGATGAAGAACTTGCCGTCGCGGTTGTCCGGCGCTCTCGCAGGTACTGGGCCAGCCCAGCTCTTCAGAAACTGGGCCCGACGGAAAGACAACCGGGCGCGGAGTACCAGACAGACACAGAGATCTCGGACTATCTCAAGGCAAATCGGTTAGCATTGTTTGCCAGTTTGGCCCACCCGTCTGGCACATGCGCCATGATGCCCGAAAAGCTGGGAGGGTGTGTTGGGTCTGACCTAAGGGTGTATGGCGTCAAGGGGCTGAGTGTGGTAGATGCTAGTGTCATTCCTCTGATTAGTGGCACCTCTCTGCAAGCAACGGTCTATGCGATTGCCGAGAAGGCGGCCGACATCATCAAGGCGAGAGGTTGAAGGAACCAAAAGGGGCAAAAAGGGGGCTCCACCTAGTGGAGCACAAAGCAACAAAAAAACATACAACAGCAGGGATTCCCCAGTGGTCACCCACCTGAGTACTAATCTGCCGATCAACTGTTTGACTAGGGGAGAGCGGACGGGATCCCGTATTTTCAGTTGTCTATGGTCGTATGTGATAGCTTTGGTCAGATTTCTAGCATATATGAGTACTTCACATTAATGGAAACGACTCGTGGCAAGTAATACATCCCCACGACACCTCCCAGCTGTTACCTAAAGCCTCGACATAAGGGCCCGATCTCGATGTCGCCAAGAAACGGCAACGTGCATCGATCAGAGTGATGGTGTGGTCCGTTTCGGAATAGCCCAGCCCAGTCCGGTGTCACACACCTAAGTCTGCGGCGCGGAAGGTGAGACATACATGATCACACCTTGATTCACGCTGTTCTTTTTGGTTTCTTTTTGGTAACCTCCACCAGCGGGCCGCTTTCTGTCACGGGTATTGAAGAATATAGGGGTTTTCCTGCGGGACTTTGAGACCGGTTCGGTCTTTAGGTTGGAGGGTGAGACATGAACGGGGTGATTGAGAGTTTGAGATGTTGGCCGGTTTGAACTTTTGTCGGCGTGCTTTTTTTTTTTTTTTTTACGTGGGAAAGATTTAGGAACGGGAAGAAGAGGGGAGTTGCAAGTCTCGCAGATGATGGCACCGGCTACATGAGGTGTTTGTGTAACTCTTCTCCCATCTCCGAGGCACACAATTTAAGGCTTTGTTGACAGGAGGCTTGACATCCGAACCTGGGGTGGTTTGTTCTTTTCTTTGGGTAAAATTCTTCTCTTCATATGTGGCTTTCAAAAAGTCCGACGAAGGGGTGTGAAGAACAATATTCTTCACCCTCGGTTGGTCATTGTCACCCTCTATTAGCGTGCAAGATCTCAAGGCGATCTGTGGCTTGGAATAATACCAGCCCGGATCATCAACGAAATGATAGCATCTCGGAAAGAATTACCTGATTCAAAACATCTCCCGGTCTCCTGCCGAGAGACCCGAGTGCCGAAAATAAAACACAGAGAGATAGATCAGATAAAAGTGCAGATATGGTTATCAGATTCGCAGGGAAAATCGGATAAGCCGACAATCGGCACTGTGGAGTTTACTGTACCCCTTTCCGATATTCCAACATTCAATCCGGAAGATATAGGTACGATGCCTGTGGCCGGAACACCGACCTTGGTAAACATGGGCAAAACAAGACGGAGGTAGGGTGGTGCCCTTATCTGCTGTCATTGACGTTGAAATGATAGTCCCACACCTGGAGTTCGTCCTGCATCCTTGATGGCTCATCGGTTTCTCATGTTTTGCTTTCAGTTGTCCCCAGGCCATGTCTGCAAATTCACACCCGTCATCGTGAGAGCGGCGGCACGGGAGATAGGTATGCACACCACTCCCAAAAGGTGAGGCGACCCATATTTACTACGCCTGCTTCGTGCGCCGTTGACTATTCTTCTTGCTGGGAACATGGCACGTCCCTACTACGGTAGGTACCTTCTTACAAAGAATATGCGGCGAAAACTTTGGTGGTGCAAACAACGGAACATCACCGCCAGGCCTTTCACCACCATGATCCTTTTTCATACATTTCTCACATTTTTGAGTGCAAAACAAAGACCCTACGCATTTGTTTGACCGGTACGAGGGGTAGTCATATTTGCAAAATTCTAAGTAGGTTAGCACATTAAGGCGTGGTGGCAGAGTGGTCTAATGCGCAAGACTAGAAATCTTGTTCCTTCGGGAGCGTCTGTTCGAATCAGGCCCACGTCGGATGTCTTTTGACATTTTTGCAACCTCACTCGTCTTTGTCTCCACATTTGCACCACCACACAACACTCGATAGTGTCATTGGTGAGAGAATAAAGTTTTTTTTTAGTGCAGTTGATGGGGAATATGAAAACACATTATGTTTTCTTTGCGAATGTTGATCACCCAAGTTCGAATTGAAACTCGCATGCGTTTCGATCGGGGCCGAGCAACTTATTGAATAAACTAAAGCTCCCAAACCGAGCATCATTATTAGAGAACAAAGGAGCACAAGGCCATGGAGGCTCAGCCAAGTCTTGAGGTGTCTTCCCTCAACAGATTTTACCGCTCGAAATCGCTGGGTAAAGACACTTTCCAACACTAAATCTAGCCTCAGGCCGAGGAACAAGCAATATGTACAACTCAAGAAGAGAAGCTTTTGTCTGTGTATCCAACCTTCCATGGTATCATTCCTCCAAAAACGCCGTGCATCATTAACGAGAGTGACATCCATCGTCCATCCATATTCTGACACAAACTTTCTAGCCTTTTACCGGCAGAGAAAGAGCCCCTGTCCCAAACAAATCTACGACGAGTACACAGCGACGTACTCCACCTCCATCATACTGCCATAGCTGTCCGCAGTCAGCGCATTGGGCGCACCAGGCCTATTTCCACTTTGTTAGCATCCATCCAGACTTCATCATCAGTCAAAACAAAAAACAAAACTCACCAGTCCCCCCCCACAGCCACATTCAAAATCAAAAACATCGGACTATGCGCCAGCGTCCCCCAGACCCCCTGATCCCCCACCTCCCCCCCCCTCAACGTATGAAACACCCTCCCATCCACCTCCCAAACAATCTCCTCATCCTCCCACCTGCCCCCCGCCCCAGCCCTCGCCCTATCAACCCTTATCCGATAAGTGTGCCACCCCGTCGGGCTGATCCCCATCGTCCCGTGCCTCCCCACCGGCTCGTTGCACGGGCCTCCCGGAACACTCCCGCAGTGCACAGTCCCATACGCCGTCGGCACGCCGTTGATCGTCTCCATAATGTCGAGCTCCCCGCACTGCGGCCAGGGCGTGCCCTGGTGGATCGACTTGCCCAGCATCCAAAACGCGGGCCAGATCCCCTGCTTCATGTGGACCGGGTGGTCGCCGAAGCGGATGCTGCCTTCAAAGGTGGTGACCTTCCCGGGGGAGGGGGTGAAGACTGCTTTTGTCTCGATGCGGGCAGAGGTCCAGCTGTTGGTTTGGCGGTTGAGGCGGGGGATGATTTGGACGGTGCCACCGCCCGAGAGCTGGAGGTTGGTGTTGGAGGTGGTGTATTCTTGGAGGTCGTTGTTGGTTTTGAGGCTGAGGTTGGGGGGGTTAGTAACCATGGGAAAGGAAAGGGGGGACGGGGAAGAAAACAAACTTGGTGATGATGTTCCAGAGGTTGCTGTTGGGCATTTGACCCGGAGCACCGGCAAAGTCATCCGACCACAGTGTTTTGAGGCCGGGGTAGTTGGGGACTGCACCGGCCGAGGCGAGGGTGGAAAAGAGGGAGGCGAACGCGATGGTGTCGAAACGCATGATGACGGTGGGCCCCCGAAAAGAGGGTGATAAAAGATACTGGGTATAAGACGTACACAGCACACAAGACTGCTGCGGTGGTTGTGGCTCAGAAAAAAGAGTGAGTGTCAAGACAGAGGTGCGGTGCTGCTGTGGTCTCAGGGAAAGAGCGGACGAGAGCTCCAAAAAAAAAAAAAAAAAAAAAAAAAAAAAGTGATGATAACTCGGGAAGGAGCTATATCAACAAATAAAAAAAATGAATGGCCTGTGGTTTCTCGAAAACCGGGAAAAAGCGAAAGAAGGACAGTGATGATCAAAGACAAGAACCTCTGATATCAGCAACAGACGAAAAGAAAGGCGGGAGCTTCAAGCAACCAAGGCAGAGAACCTGAACAGGAAATTGAAGAGCACGGGAAAATAGAGCAGATATAAATGCATCTATATTGCCCGCCACGTTTCCACCCTCCCATCTCCAGGCGCCATCGGCATGCATGGCTGTCGACCAGAGCTGTGGGCGCGGGCTGCGCACCCCTGACATGATCGCGTCCAAGTGGAGATGCAAAGGTCTGGATCAGTCCACATCTGAATCCATCGAGCTGCCAAACTGAGAGGGCAGTGCTGATTGGAGCCTCACTGTGAACTTGGCAAAGAGCATGAAACAAGCAAAAAATGTTCCGTCATTCCAGTCCCCTCATCAGCCCTCCTCGGCAGATATCTCGCCTGTTTTGGTATGTGGCGTCCGGGTATAATCCGAGCTTTTATTCCAGCGTTCCAGGTAGAAAGGTTGGTAGTTTGCACAAACTGGCTGACCTGGACAAATGTAGAGCATTGCATATCTCTCCGCGATATCTTAGCAGAGATCCCTGAGATATATATGCAGAAAACAGGGCTGATGAGATCAGACGGGCCGCATCGATGACCTCAATCGAGCCCAAGCTTTGGCTCTCGAAGCAGGATGACAAGACCATGATGAGCAGCAGCAGGATTTGCAGACCAGAAAACTTCATGCAAGTCTTCTTTTGGGCTGCAAAAAGGGGAAGTGAGGCGCAGGTTGACATCAAAAAGGGGAAACAAAACGGCTGCCCCACCACACCTTTATGCGTCTCCCAAGGACAACCTTCCAGTACCTGCGCAACCCAGGAACCCAGCAGGCTCAACATGAAACCGAGCGACACGCTGGCAGGTTGCACGGGATGAACTGGGCTAACGTCTGCCATCCACTGAAGAGCCTCAAACATGTGGGGATGCAACGACATCTACGTCAATGAGCCAAGCTGGGCATGGCCATCTTGTGGTTGTTGAAGAGTTGTTCGCAATCTTGACCAGATTCCCAGCACCTGATCCTGAGATTCGGCTGGGAAAACGAGCATGTTTGCAGTCTTAGAGAGGTCTGAAGGAGTTGGCAAGTCGTCCAGACCGGTTCCTGAAGGGTCGCGGGCCCAAAAGCCGAAGATGTCTTGGCAGGGGCAACAAGGCAGATTTCAGAGCGCCTGCAATCATCAACGGAACTCCGGGCGGTCCAATGAGAGGGTTGAAACGAGTTCTTTGACGTGGGAAAGCATCAAGAAAAGCATCTGCAAGCTTCAAACCAATATCAGCGACAGGTTCTCACGGTTCTGCAGTCAATTCTGCTATATCAGCCTGACTCCTGACTGCTCGGCTCGCTCGGGACTTGATGCATGCAGACTGACTGCCACGCATATGCATCGGCACAACCACAACTGCCGACCGCGATCTCGACATCAACGAACCGACATGGCGTCGCCGAGAATGACTGACTCAAAAATGGTGAAAGCTTCAGGGAATGCTTCTCATTGCAGGGTGCGGGGCAGCTGAATGTTCAAAGTTCAGAGGTGGCTGGAGATGGAGTTGACAGAAAGTCGCGAGGTTGGAGGTGAGGATATTTCGATTCCACACGCGTCGCGCAGTGTAGATGGGTGGATATTGTCGCAGATAGATGAATCTGTCGTCAGGAACAAGATGCCAGCCAGTACCGGAAGAAAACAACGAGTCCTGCATGGAGCTTGAGTGGTTGATGCAACATGAAGTGCAATGGCAAATGTGCTCAGAAAGTTGGACGCGACCAGCGCTTTCAGGGCACAGCCTGCGCGTGGCGCCTTCTGCACCGTGCGCTGCGCAACAAGCAGGCTTGGCGATATTCTAGACTGAACATATCATATTCTGAAGGTTGGTGTCTCTTCAACTTCTCTCAAAATAGCAAAGTCTCTCAACCACATGGTTGCTTGGCGTGTAGTGTCTTGCCGATGAGACGGCGATCAGCATGGTTGGACAATCTCTTGACATTTGACAAGACCAGCGAGGGGACTCGGGGCTTGAAGAGGAGCCTTTCAAGGCTTTCATGTATGGTTGAGCTAGGTACCTACGTACTGAAGCTTTACCCAGGAAACACCCCAACGTCAAACACCCCAACATCAACCTCACAAACCTTCTTGTCCTCAGGCAGAACCATCTCCTCCCCAAAATACCCCCTAAACACCTCGGCCGTGCAATCCGACCACTGCGCCATCGACGCATGCCCAAACGCATCCCGTTCCAACACCCGGCTCCCCTCAAAAACGCTTGACATGGCCACCGCCGACTTGACCGGCGTCACAGGATCATACCGATTCCCGACAAACAAAATCGGCTTCCTCGTCTTAATCACCCTTGGCCGTCCTTCCTCATCAAACCAGTGCTCCGTGTACTTCCCCCTCCCCTCAAGAGGCCACTCGGCGCACTGGCTGGCGATCCCGGCTAGCAACCCGCCAAATATCTTTGTCGAGTTGAACATGTGATTCGTGTCATCTATCAACTTCTGATCCGTGGGCCCAGTGGCGCGGATGACCTTGTCTGAGCAGGCTATTCCCGTCAAGGCGTCATTGTCACCCATGCTGACGGCGTTGTAGAGCGCCGTGTGGAAGGCCACCACCCCGTCGAGGTTTTTGCCTTCGAGGAGGGAGCGGATGTAGACTGTGGCTAGGGGGACGATGCCAGTGGGGTATTTTATGATGACTATGAGGATTTCTTTGACGAATTTCCCGTTGATTACCTTGCCGGCCGCGGCGACGGGGTTGGATTGGTAGCGGTCGACCATGGCGAGGAGCGTGGCTTCTAGCTCGGGAGCGGTGGAGTTGATGTCGGCTAGGGCACAGCGGGAGGTGCCGATTTTGAGGCAGTCGGATAGCACACCCCGGAAGGCGTCGTCAGAAGAGAGGAGTTGGTCGATGTCGATGCCGAAGTGGTGGTAGTAATTCTCTGCGTTGACTATTCCGTCGAGGATGAGGCGTTCCATTCTGTCTGGGAAGAGTGCGGCGACGGTGGCGCCGAGGAGGGAGCCGTAGGAGATGCCCCAGTAGTGGAGGAGACCGTCTTCTTCTTCGAAGGTGTGGAGGGAGTCGACTACAGCCATTAGATCGCGGGCTACCATTCCGGTGGTGAGAACGTTGGCGTTCTTTTGGAGGGCTGGGTCGAGGTTGTAGGCGGCGCAGCGTTGGGAGAGGGCGACGGCGTTGGCGTAGTTTTCGGCGAAGGCGTTGGGGGCGCTGGCGCCGGGGGTGAGGTCGAGGATGGGGAGGGAAGCGGTTGCTGCGAGGCGCTCGGTCTGATTGGCATAGCATCTGAAGGTGATGGTGTCGGCCGTGCCGCTGTTACTCTGGTTAGGATGTGGGTTGATAGCAAAAAGTATGGGGAAGATGGTAAGTACCGTGGATCAAAGGCGACGAGGTCATATTCTCCGCCAGTCATGCTGTTGTCTTGTCAGCTTGCACATCTCTCACCATCAAGCGAAGCCAAACTCACTTGTGCAGAGTAACGGCATTTTCTGCCAGGGTAGTTCTTGCCGGGTAGCCTGGCCCGCCAAAGTTGAACAGCATGCTCTTCTTGTTTCCTGTGGCGCTAGGGGAGACGGCTTTGCTTCTCAGCAGAGACAACGTGAGGGTCTCATTGGAGGTTGGGTCGGTGTAATCGAGCGGTACAACCAGACTCCCGCAGTCGATTTGGTCTGCAAGAGGGTCGCCTGAAACGTTGAAATTGCATGGTGCCCAGCTGATTTTTTTTACAGCGGTTGTGGTGTCGTTGCGAGATCGGAATGAGAGAGGTTTGGCTGACGCAAGGGAAATTGACAAGACCACTGAACAGACTGTCAGCCCTCTCAAAGAGGGAGAACAGGATCTCATGATGGGCTTCTGACGCCGAACAAGACAGTATGATGAGAACAAAGCCTTGGTGCAAAGAAATCTTTCAAACAGGGGCCGAACCGGCTACACGCCCAAACTCAATGGTCAATTCGGTCAATAAATGGAAGCCAGTCTTTCTTATATAGTACATGTATATACCACCATGCCTGCGATGATCACCACAGACTCCACTCTGTTGCACTCGGCTGTGTTTCCCGACAATGCCTTGTCTACAGTGACGCGTTGGTCTACATTCACTGGAAACCTTCTATACGATTTGTACGAGTCTTCTCGGCAACTAGCCAAACCCTGTTATAAGTACCAGCTGCGCCACGCCTCGAGGTCAGCAAAGCCTTGCCAGGCTTATCAGTCTCGACCAATCTCCTGGAACTCATTACCTCACCTCGTCCTTTCCGGGAATAACCGCTTACTCACCCCTATCAAATCAATCCAGGATGTTTGCAGGTTGAAAAACATATCCAATCCAATGTACTGCAGATCCCAAAGATCCTCCCCAACCAGCACCCCCAACCTCAAAAACCCCAACCGAGTCACAGACCTGCTGACGCCGTTTTTCCACCTCACCCATCGCCAGGTGTACTTTCACCTTCCTAATCGGGAGGGGTCAATGTCTCTTCGTAAACCAATCCAATTAAGCAACCCAGTTGTAAGTTGTGCCATGCATAAACCATTTGCACACTCATCGGTCAATTTTCTTCACCGAGCACACCCATTCCAAGAAATTTCACATACCCAAAGGTCTCATCACTGTCTGTGATATACTCCCAATGCAATGGTAAAGACTTAATTTTCTTATTTCACCCCATCCAATTAAAGAAAAAATCCAAAATGCTACACCAAAAAAATAAACGCCCGAGTTAACCCCCTACCTGCCATACCACCCAATGCAGTCAGTCTACTTCGAATACATGAAATCCGGATGTCCATCAAACACCTCCTCCACCGTCTTCTGCCTCAGCATCCGCGCCTCCACCGTGTCCTTATTCGCCAGCTTCCGCGCGTTTTGCCGATCCAGGTAAAAGAAGAACAGAATAGTCGTGCAGGTCGCAATGAGCGCTGATCCCATAGCCAGTGACTTCCCAAGGTAGTAATCAGGCTTGTTGTTGAAAGAGAAAGAAACGCCGATGGCGCCTAGGTGGCCGATCATGTTGACTATGGCTAGTGTTCCCGCTCTGTTGTTCATGTTAGTGACTGTCTCCGAAAAGGGGGTCGCGAGGGGGTGTACTTCTTCGTGTAGCCCAGGACATTGTTATTCATCCATGCCAACATAACAATCACACATGGTGACGACCCAATGCCGACAAAGTATGTGCCCGCGTAGGAGAGCTGTTGGTTCTTGCTGAGGATGAGAACAAGCCATCCTGCCGCGGCAACGAGTAGCCCGACGATAACAAAGATTCCTCTCATGCGGAAGCGATCGGAAAGGTACCCGCACGCAATCGCCGACACTCCTGCGCAGACATAGACAGGAATGGACATGATTTGGGCTTCGTTGGGGGTGTACCCGTTGAGGTTGAGTAGCACAGGCAAGAACTGGCCCCATGCTGCTTGACTGATGGCAGCGGCGAGGTTGATGACACCTGTGCTTTAGTCAGTAGTCTTCCTCCTGTTAATCATCAGGAAAACTCACAATAAAACCACGTCTTCGGATCCCTAACCGTCGCCTTCAGCTGCCCCAAACTAATCTTCGTGTTTGGGATATTATACGCCTCCTTCGTCCTCCTCAGCGCAATCTTCTTCTCCTCCTCGGTAAACCACCTCTTCACCTTCTCCGGCGTGTTGGGCAGGATGAAAAAGATGAGCACCCCAAACCCAACAGACGCCACACCCTCGATAAGGAAAATCCACCGCCAGGCCCTCCGACCGTGGGCACCCTCCATGGTCGTCTGAATGGAATACGCTATCAAGCCATTCATGCTCCCGGCCAGGCTCGTCATGGACATGAAGATTGCACCGCGGGTGGCGAGCTCGTGGGGCTTGTACCAGAAAGTAAGGTACAGCGGGGCGCCTTGGATGAATGCTTCGAAGCAACCGACTACTATGCGGAGACCGGCGATGGTTTGCCAGTTATTTGCTTCTGTCATGATGGCGGTGGCACCGCCCCAGATGACCAATGCAGTGCCCAGTTGGATAGGGGGCGTCAACAGCCTGACCATGATGGAGCCGGGAAGCTGGAAGGCCAAGAAACCAATGTAGAAGAAGGCCACGCAGAAACTGAGCTCTGCGGCGGTCAAGTTCAGATCGGCTGTCATGCCGGCCACGGCCGCATTGCCAACATCGCTTCGGTCCTGACAACGACGTTAGCTTTGGGGAGAGCGAAAAACGGAAGGATGGCCGGGCGACTTACCAGCGCAGCGAGAAAGTAAATGGATGCAATCAAAGGTAAGATAATAAAGTCAATCTTGAGAAGGAACCTCTTTTCGGCTTTCCTTTCCTCTGCGGTCAAGGAAATCTCGCGATGGGCGTACAGTCCGTTAGAGTGGTCGCCATCCTCGCTATGGCTGGCGTCAACGTCAAGACGGTCGCTGACCTCGCCATCGCCTGGATCGCTTGAGACTCCGGCCTTTGAAAAGCTTTTATCGTCCCCAAGTCCTAGACTTGAGCCTACGGGGGTCACGGGCGATTGCGCCATGTCTTGCTGCTGTTTGTCGAGCCACTTCAGTTGCTTCTGGCCAAGATACTACTATGGCTGCTCAAGTGCCGAGGTCGAGGCATATAACTACAGTCAAGACAATGATCGGCGATGAACCTAGGAATGTCTCAAAGACAGGATGATGATCCCTAGGAGATATCGTCAGCGTCGCCATCGAGTAGTATACGGTTGTAATTCGCGGGGGGGTAAGGGAGGGTGACGTTCTACATACTCCGGGTTGGAGAAAGACGCAAGGGATAGTGAAATCATACTTACTTCACCTAGCCGCCCGTCGTGCCCACTGGTCCCGTGGTTCCCTATCGTGGGGATGACCTCAAGCGGAAGTGAGGAACGTTGCTTGCGTGGCAGCAGCAACAGGAAGCGCCAACCTCAACATGAAACGAGCGGGGAGTCGTTGACGACGTGGGATGGGAAGAGATGAACAACTTGTGATACCTGCCAGATTCAAAGGGATGGTTGGCATTCCGAGGACCCAAAGTTGGCCAGAGGTGCATGTGGTGTGCGGGGGAGGATGGCCGGGGAAGAGGTAGGTAGGTATATGATGGAACAATGAACTTGAAGTTTCCATGTCAGGTGTGATCGCCAGCCGTGTCCCAGCCAACCAATTCAGGGGACTTTTTATGCTCCCGCTAGGTAGCTGGCTAGGTACCCGCCGCGCGAAATATTAGGAACGGGCTCGCCTACCAAGGCCGAGGATCCAGCACTGTGACCCCTCCCCATGCACTCTGGGTAGCACTTTCCCATTAATATTTCGGCATCCATTGGCTGCATGTCACCTAGTCACCCATTTTTACTGCTGACTGTACAGAACTGCACAAGCTGTCAGACTGCAAGTCCGAGGCGCGTCCAGCATTTCTCACACACATTCCGAACTGTCTCTACACCGAGTCAGATTCCGGCACTTGCATAACCTTATTATTATTACACTTACTCAAAAAAAAACACCATATACTCGGTATCTCCCTCTGTTCGTCTACTCCCTCATTTCTCCAGCCTGGAAACCATCTGTTTTGTCGAGTTGGACCCTGCAACGAGGGACGAAATATATTGAGTCAGTCAAACACGATATCAGAGACACGGAGCCTCGGTTGAGTTTTTAACGTCCGGCTCCTGTCCAAGCAACATCACCTTGTTTTATGGGATCATCCCTCACTTAATGCAAATTGCCGTCATGTTGTGTCTATCAACTTACTCTTGCTAACCGGTACCGTCCAACAGGATAGGGAGGGACAGCCGCCATCTATAAAGGGGGGTGCTTGGGCTTGGGACGCGTACACACTCATCATGCATGCAAAGTCTCTCGCGACAGGTCTTGTCTTGTGGCACAGTGGCAGCCGAAAGATTCCAAGATCGCCATTTGATTCAGTGTGACTCAGTACCACCCTCCCCGCGCTGCCTGTCGATCAGACCCTGGTAGAGCACGGCCATTATCTCTTTTCCATATCAGCCAAGCATCACCACCACCACCACCACCTCTGGTTCGATACCAAACGACATCATCAACAAAGCAGAACATGGCGGTAAAGGACGAACTCAGGATCCTCACGCCAATTGGCATGCTGGGGTACTCCTTCGACGAGCACCTGTACTGGACCGAGATAGAGAACGGCGTCGACGCCATCATCCTCGACAGTGGCTCTACAGACAGTGGGCCCTCGCGCCTGGCCTTGGGACTGACGTCTGCTTCGCGAGAGGCATATGAGCGGGACCTCAAGCTTCTTGTCACCGCCAGCGCGAACAACCACATCCCCGTTCTTATCGGTAAGTATCGTTTGTTTCACGCTCTTGGTGCGGCCCACGTCGTACGGGGGGCGCTGGAATGTCAGACGGATAGGTACTTGCGGGGCGTCCACACCGACATTAGCTCGCGGAGAAATGATGACTAAGTAATCTTCTCATAGGCTCTGCCGGAGGCGACGGAACAAATGCCCACGTGCAGCTTCTTGTCGACATTGTCAATGAGGTTGTCGAAAGGGAAAAGTATCGCCAACTAAAGATCGTCACCATTCACTCCGAGATTACCAAGTCCGAGGTACGAGCTAGTCTTGGCCGAGGTGAAACCACGCCGTGCGGTGGAGGTGTCCCGGAGCTCCTGTCTTCGGACATTGACGATGCCGTGGTCATCGTTGCCCAGATGGGCCTTGAGCCCTGGGTACAGGCCATGCGGAACCATCCTGACTTCGACATCATCATCGCAGGTCGATCCTATGATCCGGCGCCTTACGTGGCCTTTTGTGTGCACAATGGCTTCCCGGATCTTGGTCTTGCTCACCACATGGGCAAAATCATGGAATGCGGTGCTGTCTGCGCGACGCCAAAGAGTGCCGAGGCTTTGGCTATTGTTCGACAGGATTGCTTTGAAATCCGGCCCCTGAATCCGGTAGCCAAGTGCACACCTCTTTCTGTGGCGGCGCACACCATGTATGAGAAGCCCCGGCCTGACCTCCTTGCCGGACCGGGCGGGATTCTTGACGTCCGCGACTCGACGTACACACAGCTCCCTGACGGCCGGACGATCCGTGTAACCGGATCCAAATTCATCCCCTTTTCGCCCGACCAGTCCTCGCCGGAGCCAAGCGTCAGCAACACAAAGTACACCATCAAGCTCGAAGCGGCCAAGGTGACTGGTCACCTCGCCATCTTCATCGGCGGCATCCGCGACCCCATCATGCAGTCCCAGCTCAACGATTTGTTGGTGCCCATGATCAAGAAGCGCCTGCATCAAGTCTACACCTTTGACTTTGACCTCAGCTTCAAATTCTACGGCCAGACACCCCTCATACCCGGCATCGCCCCTCAACCAGCACACTTCCCCACCGAGATTGGTGTGCTGGGTAAAGTCCTGGCACAAACACCGGCGCAAGCCAAGGCTGTGGCAAACCTGGCAAAGGTATACTTTGTCCACGCCCCCTACCCAGGGCAGGTAGCCACAGCAGGGAACTTTGCCATGCCGCTCGCCCCGTGTGACATCTCTGTCGGGCCGGCGACGCAGTTTTGCATGTACCATCTCATGGAGATCGACGACCCCGTGGCGCCATTCCCCATATCTGTGCAGACTGTCGGGAGGGTGCTCGCCCCTGAGGAGATTCAAACAAAGTATGTTATGTTTTTGTCCCCTCTTTGTTTACTTTGAAGTCTCCACTTTTTCTGTTGCTAACCCCCTTTTTTTTTCCCAGCGGGACCCACCCAAAAGAGATCTCCCCCCTTGAAAAGCTCAAGTCTTCCCGGCCGTTGTTCCCGCCTTCTTTGGTTGCGCCGGAATTGACGTGTTTTCCGAAATCGGCGCTTCCGTCTTCGGTGCCGTTGTATAAGCTGGCCAAGACGCTCAGGACGAAGAACGCGGGGCCGTATTCGGTCACGTTGGACATCTTGTTTCCGACACGGGAGGTGTTTGAGCTGGTGGTGGAGTCGGGGGTTTTGACGAGGGGGGGGTTGGCGGAGATGTATGGGATTGGGAAGGAGGATATTACAGAGTTCATGTTTTGGGAACCAGCGCTGGCGTTCAAGGCCACGTGGCCTAGGAGGAGGGTGAGTGGGAGTTGGGATGATGATGATGTTCATGCTAGTGGGGGGCATGTGGGGGTTATGGGAATTGAGGTGGTGGTTCCGGCCGGTTTTTCTCTCAACGGTGAGGCTTGGTTATGATTTGTGACTGGCGATGATGTGATGAAGGACGAGTGGAAATGTGTGATACCCTGGGAAGGTGGATTGTTGTGTGTGTGTTGTGTGTGGGGAGGGGGGGGGGGGGTCTGCTTAGTTATGATCAGGTTTGGATCTTGTTTAGTAGCCTTGAAAGGCATCTCTCAATAAGAATGATGACTCTACAAAAACATGCCGTAGGAAATTCTGGAGACAGGTCCACAGATTGATTGGGTATCGATCTTGAACAATGGTTTATGCGCCTTACAAATGCTTTGGGTAACCAGCTCGGGACTTTCAGCTGCTGCAACAGCTTCCATGTCTCAATCTTGACTCTCACCACCAGTTTTCTTCACCTGTCCGCAAAAAAGGGCCGACGTCAGCATGAACAAGCACACCTGAAATTTGGTTCCAAGACTGATTGTGTGCAATCAGTTTAGCTTCTTTATAGTTGTACAGACAGTCACAAAAGTTACTCTTCCCAACCAAGAAAGATCCTTCTTGTATATATCTTTTCTCCTTCTCCCTCCCCTTCCCGCTAACCCCCGACCCTAAACTAGGTAGGCAGCTGCACCGAAAACCTCTCATCAGCCGGCAACTCGCTCTTTTGCCCCGGGCTCTGCCCCCCACCCACTGTCGTTCCGGGTAACTCCCCAGGAGCAGCATTATGCGCATAATACAAACCACTGTTAAACGGCGGCGGCGGACTCGGGTGCACAGCCGTCGCCGAGCTGACAGTCATGACATCCTGCTGTGAGTAATGGCTTTGGCTGAAGCCACCGGGAGAACGCACACCCACCATCCCAGGGTGATGCCCACCACCATGGATACTGTTATAATGCCCAATCTCCAACTCCTTTTGTCTCCGACGCTTGCGGCGGCAGAGGACGATTGCCCAGCCTAGGATCAACAGGAGGAGGATACCACCTATCGCTGCGCCGACGCCGATCCCCGCTTTGGCTCCGGGAGAGAGACCTCCCGGTTCGGGAGAGGCGGCGGAGGAGGAGGTGGACGATTTACCCGTGTAGGTTGGGACGACGCCGCGGGTTTTGCCGGGGGTGTACCCCGCTGCTGGCGCGGTGGGGGGCACGTAGTTGTTTTGCCAGAAGATGGACGACCCCGGGATGGTGGGTAGGCTGGCGTAGGCGGCGAGGGAGGAGGAGCCGGGGTAGAGGATCTGGTCTTTGTTGCAATAGGGGGTGCAGGCGTCGAGGGAGAGCTTCACCAGTTCGGTGGAGTTGTCGGGGACCTTGCAGCCGGTCCAGTTGGTCGTGTCGGGGCTGGAGGCGGCGTTGAGGTTTTTGCAGGCTTGGTTGATGGCGACCCATTCTTGGGAGTGGAAGGGGTCGCGCTTGTAGAGGCAGTTGGGGTCGGTGAAGGAGGGGTCGGTGCAGCCTGCTACGTAGGTGTTTCCGGCTGGTTTTTGTTTTGTGTCAGTAGTAAAGGGGAGGGGAGGGGAGAGGAGAGGAGAGGAGAGATGGACAAAAGAGATGACATACAGGTCTTGTCCCAGCAGGCGTTGGCTTCACCTAGCGATAGACAAAAACTGCCCGTGTGGCAGCATGGCCATACTTGGAGCGCCTCGTTACCACATGGGATAAAATCCCCCTTTGTCGGGGTGTCCTCCGTGTAATAGCAGGTGCCGTTGGAGATGTTTGGGTTATACACAGCCATGTCGGCATCGGCCCGAATGAAAGCGGGCTTCCTCGGCGAGGTGTCGGATGAGCATGTAAACAGAGGGTAAAAAGGAATATGACGAGAAGGGAAGAAACGAAACCAGTTGCAAGTTCAGTCGAGTCCGGGGGGTTAAGGGCGGGCAAAGCAGGAACATAATACCACATACTAAAGGCGACCGGGGCCACCGAGGGAAATCAGCGGACCGCCCTCCCGGGTTCATATGCAACAGGCGTACTCGGAGTCGGCCGTGACGAACAGCGTCCAATGATCGATTGGCCTGGTATGAGCTGAAACTGCACGATATGCCGAACTACCTATGGCATGACTCGAAAGCCCTGCCCACACCGACAAGAGAAGGGACCAGAGGGAGGGGGAGATCTCCCGTCGTATTTGGGCTGAGTACGACCGATAATGTGAAGAAGCACACCTCGCATTGGCGCAGGTGGTAAGCCACTTCCGAAGGCTGGGTAAAGTCTAGAACCGGCAGTAAATCGTCCACGGCATGCGCCACCACGGGGGTTACACCGGCGCTTGTGTCACAATAATACGGATGATCATCAGGAATTTTATACAAGACTGAGACCAGACCCCGCGTCCTGGTGTTAAAGCTGCCACGCAGCCAACATCGGGCACAGACAGAATCAGAGACAAAAAAGGGTCATTTGAAACAAGGCTTCATGACTCTTTTGGAAGCTATCCGTGGGGAACTGAGCTCTCAACCGGTGATGGCAGTGATGCTCTGGTGTGACAGCATTGCATCCGTCTGCACGTTTCTCCACGGAGTCTCTTGTCAGTGAAACCAGGCCGCTTCGTTGTGCAGCCAGTCAGGTGGCGCTGTCAAACAATCACAAGGTGGAAAATACTGTGGCTTTCCAAGTTGTCCAAAAGCGTGAGAGAGAGTACTATTTCTGCGTGGCCATTATGAGAAACAACACACCATCTTCATCGTGACAACCACCAGTAAGGATTTGCCAACAGGAGCTGTCAAAGAATTGAGAAGAGCCCACGGAAATCATGCAATGAGAGAAGAGATCGCTGCAGATGTCATCACCGGGCCTCACATAGCGGCAATCTTTTTTGCAGCCGCCTGCCGTTGAGAGAGTGACCGGCCCAAAGACCAGACCATAGCACAGGACGGACAACAAGGCCTCAGAAGAAAGTTAATGTGCTTTGAATAGGTAGGGAAATTCACTAAGTTGGATCATGCCTTTAATACAGCCTGGGAGTCAAGGCATGTCCCATCACTTGTCAAACCCCCGGTCCATATTGGAGGTCCAGCCCTCATTATACCTACCTGGTTACCATCATAAATGAGGAATCCACAGTCCCAGCCAATATTGCCAGCCCTTTATCCATCAGAGCCCCCACATCCTTATTCTTTCATCCCCAAAGCCTCGCCTTGTTCCGCCTTAGCGTCTCTGCCCCATGATGAACAATCAAATCCTCGACCTCCATGGCATCCACGGCCAGCATGGATCTAATTACATCTAATATCAACCCATATGGTTGCTCCCAGGACACACCTATCCCACCTTTCTTCAGGCCCACACTCTGGTTGCTCCCAGGGCTAGGGTATTTCACACACTTTCTGTAGTTTTTCGTCTGTTTGTTAGATTTGTAGAGTACGATCACTCTCATTACATTTTGCTTACGTTTTCTGCCCCAGTGACCTTGCCCTACAACCCCTTATTCTCACAAAAGTAGCCGAAAAAGATGTCTGTTGCTCACTGGATGACCAAAGATTCCTTGATCGCATTTGCTACAATCTTCCATAGTCTCTTAGCTCCCTTACGGTAGTGTGCCTTTTGATCAATGTTAAACTCAATCATACAGTCGCAATGGCTACACGTTAACACATTAACACATCAAACTGGCAGGTCGGTAGCATCTTCTTGGTGGGGCGTTCTTTGTTTTTATTTTGCGCGTGGGCGGTGCTGGTTGTATCACAAGGTGTGTAGTACCTACCATGGAAGTCATCAAAGTGAGGGGAAAAGGATGGTTGATTATTTCAAGCTGTGAACTGCCATTAGAAACTTCCTATCTAACCCCATCGGCTGTGGACAAATGCACCTTCAGTGGCTTAGAGTTGATTTTGGCTGCGAGTAGACTTATCCCAACTACCTCCCTTGGCCGCCTGATTTCGAACTTCTCAACACCTCCAACCTCGTTAACCTCTTAACACCTTCCAAATTTTAACTTCTCCGTTATGATAATTATAATGACGAACTGCGATATCAATCTGAGCTTGTGCAAACCCAGTTACAAAGAGGATGCGCTCGGCGCTAGAATACCCAAGGTCAGTGTCTATCTCAAATGCCAGAGCCCATTCATCATCATGGTGCTGAGTTACAGAAAGAGGGGATTAAAACACCACGGCATTGGTTTGGCAACAACCCTGGATATTTGGTTGGCTTTGTATTGGTTCAACTTGTCGATTCGCTCGGATGACTTTTTCTTTTGATCGATGTGGTGCGAGATCATCGCGTCGCAGATCGAGTTGAACTCGCTGGTCGAGACCATTTTGTCTTTGCACGCCCTTGGTGAGGACGCTTGGGTGGGGAGTGGGTGTGGAAGATATGGGTTGGATTGAAGAAAGAATTTAAACAGGCGCTGCTCTTCTCTCCGTGGTTTGTGTGTCAGGTTGCCGAGTCTTTGGAATGGTTTTTGATCAAGGGCCAGAAATTTTCTGGGTAGTTGTGCTGAAGCTTGCTGGCCCGGTCTACTGGCAGCCGTTCAGCCCATCATTTTTTTAACGCCAGTCTCGACACCAGCAAATCTCGGCATCGTCTTCAGGCCCGTTATTCTCCCAACAAAGTCAATGTCAGATAGGCAAGGAAGTGACTTACATGGAATGGACCCAGGTTGACGCATCATGAGAACAGAACATGAGGCTTTGGCGGTTATCTCTGTCTTATATCGCTTTTAAGTAACAATCGAATGGTGATATATCTCTACCTTTGACTCTTAAAGATCTACTATAGACCATCTTCAAAGGCCAGTCGACAACCATCTTTATCACGTAGTTGGAAGCTGATATAGAACCGGTTTATAGTTTGAAGCATTTTATTTTGGCGTAGTGTGGCTTTTAGGAGGCTCCGATGGGTCCCTCCTAATCGGATGAAGAAAAGAAAGTTTCATACAGAACTCGCGAAAACTGAAAAGCTTCATAAACCTTGACGTCCATGGCGCACCAGATAAAATCGGAGAAAAGGGCTGAAAAGCATTCCCGCAAGCTTCATCACCGTCTTCTCAACACCACATCACATCATCACCACAGTTCATCATCCCCTCTCTCCGCCATTTCCTCAACTCACCCACCTAAAAAGAACAAAAATGGTCACCACCGCCGAGTTCAACTCCATCTGCGACTCCATGATCACCTACCACATCGACCAAACGGCCATCCCACTTAAAAAGGTGGAAAGGCTGGAGAAATCCATAACCAAATGTAGAGCTTGGCTTACAAGACAGGCTGAGAAAGCTCGGTTATCTGCAACCGACATTATTGCGAAATTGTAAGCGGTAACCGCCAAAGAACTGGAAGAGCTCAGCGCACTTTTGGTATCTCAAAGACCGAAAGCTGGCTACCTACCCACCTATCTAGCACCAGACTTATCAACAACCGTACTGCCTTCACCCGGGCCCAAATCGAGAGGACAGTTCGACCTGGTGTCGATTACCACAGCGGAGAGATTGATAAGTGGAAGAGGTTGAGATGTTGAGGGGGCCCTGGCCAAGGGGGGAGAGGCTGAGCGAGGCATTACCCCGACAGGGGGTTAGGGTTATGTGGAGAAATATAAGCAGAGTGTACCTAAGCACCCATCACATCACCTTTGCCTTCCTGCATCGGCCAGCATGGATATCCCTCTCATCCCACCTCACTCACTTGACAACAGCACAGAACGATGGTCACCGCCAACCAACTAAACTCACTCTGCGATGTAATGATCACATACCACATCGACCAGAAAGTCACCCCGCTGGAGCGGGTGGAGAAGCTGAAGAAGTTCAGGACCGCGTGCGAGGTTAGGCTCAAAGCAGAGTGCGAGAAATGGCTCCGGGCCGATATAGAGCTTGTTGCTTCACACTAGTAAGTTAAAAAAAAAAAAGTTAAAAAAAAAAAGATCTCTGGTGAGGAACAGCTTGCAAAGAATGTTTGCTATGTTCAAGATGGAAAAGGGCTGACTTTGGGCCAACTTACCTACGTACCGCCTATGCAGCGCTCTGCGGATGGATCACATTGCTTCGTTCACCCAAGCCCAGATCGACAGGACGGTTCGTAGTCATCTCGATTATCACAATGGAGAGATTGATAAGTGGAAGAGTTTGAGATGCTGAGGGATTTTTTATCATCTCAATATAAGAGGGACCGATTAAAGATGGCAACCGAGTTTGGTATGTGGTGCGGAAGGAAGAGGAGAGAATATCACGGTTCCATTATTGTCTAAGTAGGACTGGCGTTTATGATGATTGATGCGCATTTGAAAAACATTACGATATGTGTAACCACTAAAACCAAGGGTATCGTTCTGCCGGGCATGCCTCTCGCCATGATCAGTCTCTGGATATAAACCTGTATCCAGTGCCATGCCATGCCACACCATATCCAGTCCCAATGTCCAATTTATGCTCGGAATACTCGGGTGTGCCAGCCCCAAGTTGATATGATAGATGACGAAACCAAAATCCAAGATATGCACCGTGGCAGAGCCATATGTCATGATTCTTCTGTCGTTCATCGTCTTCCAGGATACTGGTACTCGACCCCCTGATGCCAACTCTGCTGACTCCATCCCTGTCTCGTTCTTTGCTGTAGTTGTTGTTGCGGCTGCGGGTGTGATTGGGGACGTGGTTGCTGCTGCTGCTGCTGCTGCTGCGCCTGCGAACCCCTCGGCCTCTGAGCGTTATCCTGCCCCCTAGGCTTATAAACCCTCTTGGCCACATTACTCCTATGCGCAATCCCGCCCTCCTCCAGCTTCACCAGCACCTCGTCCACACTAATTGGCCTCCCCCTTTCCTGCGCATTCTTCATGTGCTTCTCCACGAGATAAACCCCCTCCTCCCGCGTCCTGCTCCAACCGCAGCAGTCAATCTCCAGCTTCCAACTCTTCAGCTCTTGGTTTTCATAGTAAGAACTCCCTTCCTGAAAGGCGAGGTTGCTCCCCCCGTTGGCGTTGATATCGTTCGCTGTGTGGCAGGCCGTCTCAGGCAGGTTTTTGCAGGCGCAGTTGGAGCAGATGACCTTGAGTTTATACTCCGGTTTTGTGCGTTTGGATGCCGAAACGGGTGAGGTTACTGGGGCTGTGGTAGAGAGCCGTGAGAATCGTGAATTCGGCTTTGATTCTCGAGATGGTTTCGATTTTGAATTCCCCATACTGCCCCCGTCTTCTTCTTGATAGGTCGATGAAGGTGGAAATGTTGGTGACGGCAGCGAAGCTTCCGTCAAAATCCTAGGAGAAATACTCGACAGTCCTTGAAACAGAAATAGACTGCTCCCGAGCCCTGCCGCCATGGCAGTCTTTATTGTGTTGAATGAGTTTGGACACTCAGAGTTGAGATTCGACTCGCCGGTCTCGTGTGGCCGGCACACCCCGCGGGCGGGCTGCCGGGTTGGCCGGGAGCTTGAGAAGGTGAGCATCGCGTGTTACAAGTGAACGTCAGGTCCCCCTCTGAGCTTGTTGAACAAAGACTGAGGTTCGGAAGAAAGGGGTTGAACAAGGTGATGACCGGTGATCTCCCGTGCAGGACAATGCCCTTGACCCGGGGTTCGGTGCCTTATACAACAAAGAAATGTTTTCAATGAGGGTCTTTGACACAGGGCTTGAGACGGTGGCCGACCCGTCGGTGATATATGCGTATGTGGGCAATACGTGGGTTGGGCGAGACCCGGACCCGGCTGGCGCGCGCGTGGCCTTCCATGGGTGGTTTTGTACTTGAACTGGACAACAGCACCTCCACTTGGTTATGTCATTTGATGCAGTGCCCAGGGAATAAACGGGCAAAAAGGAAAGGGGCTGATTCGTCGGCAGTGGCAGTGAGTACAAGAGTAAATCCGATGGCGGTGCCCGAAATTCCAAAAGATGGTGGTGTGGTCACTATATCTGCTGGGCAACTCTGGGGCGACAAACCTGCACAGCCCGACTCAAAGGATTGGCTCCTGGGCTGTTGGGCAGCGGGCAGGGCAGTGTGTGGCCGGTTCCTGGGCGACGCGGCTGTTGGCCACCCCTCGTTACTCCCCATGCGTGGTGCGGCAAAGTCGGATGGTAGCCCTGACGGCACCTCGTCGTCATTTCCATTCGCAACGTGTGAGGCTCCGCGGTATCACCAAGCTGCCGAGACGAACCTCATGATCCTCGGAGGGCGGTGTCCAATCCCTCAACGTCCGGACGCCGACTCTGAAGTCTGTACCACCGGAACGGCGCGTGAGGGAATTGGTGGTCTTGTATGCATGTTTTTACAAGTCGTCATTTCCACGTGGTGGTGACTTGAAACAATGCATTCACGAGGAAGATGCCACATGCGCCATACAAAGAGCTGTGGAAGGAAACACGGCACAACTCTGGATTACCTCTCCGTAAAGCGGCTCGCAGGTTGGGTCCTTGGGCTAGTGCATAAGGTTCTGGGGTTGATTGTAAGCGCCGTGCTAGGTTATCGTCTGGTATAAGAAGGTTAGCAGTCGAAGGATCTAGACAACTGCAAGCAAAACTTCGACACTGTAGGTACGCAACCCTGAGCAGATGAGCAGACCGCCATCAAGTCAACGGGCGGTGCATATGTTTTGCACGCCCTCATCATCCATTGTTTACTCATGAGACATTAAGAATAGCCATGTATCAGTTATGCCCGAGGCCTTTTATTTCCCGGCGACGCTTATCCGCTCTTTCATCATTGATCTTCTCACACCCTCTAGTCGTCCTCTGGTGGCAACTCGTCATCGATATATCGTATCAGCGTGATGCGCATCTCGGTCGTATCGTTACCCCTGAGCACGTCGCTGATGAAATGGGCCTCCACCTGCATTTGTACCATCTCCAACGCTCCCCTCAACACGCCGCACAGGATATTCGAATACCACAGCTCGTCTTGGGCCCGGCCGTCGTCGGGTAGTTCCACAAAGTCGGCAAAGGGGTTCTCATCGAAGATCAGTGAGAACTGCTTGCCGTCGTTGGTCCAATTCGCTATCGTTGGCGTGATGTTGAGGAATATCTTGAACCCAACCTGAAGAGCACATCTGTCAGACACAAACACGTCCACGCGCAAACACCGGCCCAACATGCCAAACTGCCCACCTTCGCGATCATCTCGGCTGTTTCCTTAAAGTTCGAACATCGGCGTACAGTGTTGGATTTCGCAAGGTAATCCTCGATTAGGCGCAGACCGATGTTGTACCCCATCTTATCGAGTTGCTTGTTGACCTCGACATAGTCGCTGTCAAAGTCCTTACACAGCTGCGCAACGATGGTGCCGTATGTGAGGACGACCAGCTCGGCGTTGACCTTGTCTATCCGTGTCCTTCAGCGGGGGGCAGCATTAGCGATGGTTGAGTTCTAGCTGAGGGCGTGTGGGAGGCCCTTACTTCCAGATCCTGTCAGAGAAGCAGTGTTAGCAGAGATGGCAACGAAGTAAACAGAGGAGGGATGCGCAGCGTACTCTTCCCCCAATCGGGACGCCTTGTTAGCCGCCATGGCGGAATAGGGTCGAGAGAATGCCTGGGAGATAACCTAAGATTGAACCGAAGAAGCGACGAAGAGCGGTGTTGCGTATAACTATCGGAGGCACCCAGAATGATGTTTGTTCGGAGAGGGCGGTGATGTTTCTGGCGGTAGCTACAAGGGTGCTCACCTTACAGGCCGCATGTCGGGGGACAAAGCCCCACTACTCCCCTAAAGTGCAGGGACCCCAGGTCAGTGCTCATGTGCCTTGGGCGGGAAGCGGGGAATCTAAAATCCATCAGGCGCGTCCTCCAGCACTGGCGCATCATCATCAATTGGATTTGGGACTTGAAAGTCAAACAGCGCAGCCTCGCCAAGAGACCCATCTTGTTCACGACTCAATCCTACCATTGCATCACGGCATCACAACATCACAACATCAATTGATTCAACAGACACATTGGATCTTTGAATATCTATCAATCATGTCTTCTGAAAAGAGACCGTTCCCAGGCGACGACCAGCAGCTCGTGGTCAAGCGGCAGAATGTGGGCTCTAGTCGCGCCCTCGCTACCCGCTCTGGCCCTGCTGGTGGAAGCTCTGGTGCCCTAATTCAGTCGTCGGTATGTCTTTGGAGTTTTGGAAACAAGTCTTATCATGTCTGCTAACATGCGCGATGAAGGTTCCACGAACGAGCTCCTTGCAGGCTCCGGTAATGGAGCTGTCAGGACACAGCGGCGAGATCTTTGCGGCAAGATTCGATCCCACAGGAAACTTAATAGCCTCTGGGTCAATGGACAGGACAGTTTGTACGTAAACAAACTTGATGGTCAGGTCGGAAAACCTACTGACACCCAGTCCAGTGCTTTGGCGAACCTACGGCGACTGCGAAAACTACGGCGTTCTCTCCGGCCACAAGGGCGCCGTTCTTGACCTGCAATGGTCCCGCGATTCCGAAATCCTCTTCACCGCCTCTGCCGATATGCACCTCGCTAGTTGGGACCTCACATCAGGCACAAGAATAAGACGCTACGTTGGACACGAAGAAGGCGTCACATCGCTAGACCTGAGCAAGCGCGGCGAGGAGATGCTCATCAGCGGCAGCAACGACGGTACAATTGGTATTTGGGATCCAAGGACGAAGCACGCGGCGGATTACATTGAAACGGATTTCCCCATCACGGCGGTTGCTTTCTCGGAGGCTGGCAATGAGATCTATTCGGGTGGCATCGACAATGACATCAAGGTGTGGGATGTCAGGAAAAAGGCTGTGGTACACACAATGCTGGGTCATCAGGACACGATCACGACGTTGAGGGTATCGCCGGACGGGCAGCAATTATTGTCGTATGCGATGGACTCGACCGCCAGGACGTGGGACATTAGGCCTTTCGCCCCTGCCGAGCGACACATTCGGACATTTGACGGCGCACCGCTGGGCATGGAGAAGAACTTGATCAAGGGAAGCTGGGACTCGGACGGCAAGAAGATCGCGGTGGGTGCTGGTGATGGAACGGCTGTGGTTTGGGAGGCGGGTACAGGAAGGTTGCTGTACAAGCTTCCCGGTCATAAGGGGACAGTCAACTCGGTTGACTTTGCACCGGGGGCGGAACCTCTCAGTATGTGTCGTTGACTTTTGCCTGGTGCTGGACGTGTTGCTAATTTTTGTCTAGTCCTCTCTGCGTCATCAGACCGGAACATGTTGTTGGGTGAGCTCAAGTGAGGCGGCGGGTTGCGACGATGCCTCTCGAGTCGAGGAATTGTCTAGCCCAGTGCGAAGTTGCTCATGTTCGAACCACAACGGCCGTCTAACCGCCTCGCTGCAGTCTGCCTGAGGCGATGCCCCTATTTCAAGAATAGGTGTCGATTTGGCTGTTGTGCGACGAGAAAAGATCACCTTTAGGCTACAGCCTGCTCCGGCACGGCAGGACTGCATATTTGGAAAGGAAGTATGCCCAGGCGCTTCAATGATACCGGCGAAAGGCTGAGCAGAGGAGCAGTGATGGAAAGGATAAAAGTAAAGCGAGCTTGATACCCAGCCTTGTACGAATAAAAATTTGAAAGGATATACACCACACCTACAGGATGCATACAGGCGCGCGCCAGGAGACATTTCAGGACGAGGGCACAGATCTCGAAGATAAAGACAGCCAAAGCACGAGCGATCAGCAACTCAATGCGCAGCAGACACTTTTGATGCCTGACATTGGGTTGCGGCATCAGTCACAGCTTCTACATGAGACGGGGCATTCTGTCAGATATTATTGATTGGCTCTGTCCGGCCATCAATCGAGAAGAAGTCTGGGCTCAAGTTTGACCATCAATGATTCGATTGACTCACCGTCGTTGCTGGCTGACCATGATGTATTCCAGGAGTTTTCTTGATGCCCAAAATCCACTTGCGACCATCCTGTCTTCTTATTCTTTTTTTCTTGAATCTTGAACCTCTCTGACAGCCATTCCCCAGAAAACTCCAACAAGGCCTGGGGAGATCTGAAACACGCCTGTGACTGTGGTCCACTCATGCGCCAAGCCGACGTTGCACTGGAATCACTCGCAGCCAATCATTGGGATTTCCCCTTTTGTCGTCGAGTTTGAAGAGCAAGACAACTGGATGTCATGAAGCCTCCTGCCGACGCCCGACGATGCAAGGCACCCTGCCGTTCTGAAGGTATTCGCAGTTGGGGTGTCCAAGGCAGCACAGCAGATGCAGGAGAAGTCAACAGGTTGCCTTGCTTCCTGTACGTCGATAGGAACCGTAGAGATAACCGTCCCGGGAAAAGAGTTTCGAGATGCTGCACGAGCCTCCTTGTGGATGGGTTCCTCGTCGTTCATCCCGTGGTGATCTCGAGGCAGGGGGCCGAAGAAGCTCTGAATCTTGCGTCAACGGAGATCCCTTCACCTCCTCAGGTTCACTGGTGGCTCACCTCGTGTCCGTGCAAGTGAAGCCAAGCGCAGGCTGACCCCTGCATATCTGGTCACGTCCCCCTCTCACCCTCCATCCAATCAAGCCCCTCCCCCCTTCCTCAGGGCTGCAACATCGTCAATTCTTGTCGAATGGTGAATGGTGCAGGTCCCATTCCGTCCGTCAAGAATTGCCTGTCGGTCGACGAAGCGTCTTTGCGGTGGCTTGGGACGAATCCACTTGCATACGACGAAACAACGAAACAAAACAGGGGAGGGTGCCTCTGGACCTATCGACACACATTTCCACCTCACCACCACCACCACAGTCTAAATCCTGCCGTGCAGGCATTCTTATCTTCCCTCTTTTTATTCTCTTGATATGACCTCCCTGCCCTGAGGTCGGCTTTTGGTTGTTTCTGTTCTTCCTGTTGCCTTGACGGTGTTTGTTTTCTTTTTCCCTTACATTCGCATCGCTCTGGGAGCCGGTAATTTATTGGACGACGGTCATTTGCTACGACACACTCGGCATCTTTTTTCTTCAGCACCATCACTTCAGTTCAAGCAGCGGGCCGGGCCTTTATGATACCTTGATATCCTCTCTCTCTCCCTCCCTCCCTCCCTCTCTCTCTCTCTCTCTTTCTCGATTTCAATATTCCGACCGACGAAAACAACTGTTCTTCTTTCGGCACGCCCTTCCCTTTTTCGTTTTCGCCAACCGTTTTTATATCCCGAATATCAGCGCCCGCCGTTGAAGGGAGGTACTCGAGGCGCATTATTTTTAAGGGGCAGCACAGTTCGCGAACCCTTCAAAGACAAGCGCACGGCGACCTGCAGGGCCTGGCGACCTATCACCGCGCGTGGGGACGATCGAGCGGGAACAGACGGGGGGAGCTTAGGTTGTGCGACGTCAATATCAACATCAACAATCGTTGACCACTGAGGTTGACAGACTGGGACGCGCAACTGTTGGACTCATACTTTCAAGTCAAACCTACCTGACAACTTCACATCGGTCTGAAAACGACTCATCTGAGGCACACAGAGGAGACAGCATGCTCGCCGGATAAAAACTCACATCAAGACAACACTCACCCACCTGATACACAAGGACACTGAACTTTCCCTTCACCATGGACCGCTTCAACTTCTTCACCGGGTCCTCCTCCCGGACCAACAACAACAACAACAACAACACCAATGACACCAACGACACCATAACCGACAACACCACCACCAACACAGTCACCATCCGCACCGCCCCCGTCGTTCCCCGAACCTCAACATGCAACTCCTCCCTCTGTCCCCCACCAGGCCCCCACCCAGCAACAGTCGAAAATTACAACCCCTACAGCAACAACAACAACAGCAACAACAACAACAACAACCCCTCCCCCTACGGCCTCTCCTACCCAATCTACCAATCCTACGACCCCCGCACAACAAACGACGAACACGTCCCCTTATCCCCCCGTTTCTCCCCCCACTCCGATCCCGAATCCGGCCAACACCACCCCCAGCCCCAACAACCCCAGCGGTTGTCCTTCCTCGCCCGGTTCCCCCGCCCCTCATTCTTTGGTTTGCGCCCCCCAAGCAGCAACTACTCTGGTGCTGGGTTGAGAGGTGCACCGCCCACGGTGATCAACGGGCAGGAAGCGACGGTGGAGAGCCCAAAGAGCCCGGCGTTCAGGATCGGGGAGCAGGCGCTGCCGAGCACGAGGTTGCACTTGCCTGGGCTGGAGAGGGTATGGACTGGGGGGAGCAGCGGGCCGCCGACTAGGCCTGGGACGACGACGGCTGGGCAGGAGGAGGTGGCTGAGCCGGAGAGGGCGGTGACGAGGGGGAGCAATCGGTCCAGGAGGCATAGGAGGGAGGGGAGCGGGGGGTCGAGACGGGAAGGCGGGGAGACGAGAGAAGAGAGGAGGCGGCGGAGGAGAGATGGAGAAACTCGACGACGGAGAACAGAACAGGGGAGTTCAACCAGTAGCGGCAGTCGAACAGGCGGCGGCAGCGGCGGCAGCAGGAGGAAACCCCCCAAGAACTTCCTCTTTTGCTTCCCCTGGATCAAGTCCCGGCGCATCCGCACGCAGATCCTGCGGTGTTTTGTGTCGGGGTTGTTTCTGATACTCATCTTGACTGTGTGTAAGTTTACCCCCGCCGTATTCCCTCTTTCTTTGTGCTAACAGCCACCCTACTAGACCTCTCCCTGACCCTCACCAAAAACATCACCTCGTCCGAGTTCACCATCTTGCTCATTCTCATCATCTTGTTCATCACCATCTTCTTCTGCCACAGCCTCATCAAGCTCTGCATGCTGGTGATCAAGTCACGGAACGGGACACTGCAAAGTAGTAACTCCTCCTCCAGGGAAGGCGGGGTGGTAAGGCCAGAGATGATCCAGCAAATCGCCCCAGGGAGCGGGTACGCCATCCCACGGGAGCCCATCAGGGTTGTGCTCGCGAGGGACGAGGAGGCGGTGGGGATCGAGAGCGAGGCGACAAAGTTGGGCCCCCCCGCGTATGGACTTTGGAGGGAGAGTGTGGTATGTTCTGTTCTCTGAAAGCAAAAGTGAGCTTCGTGGATGAAAGGCTAATGTTTGTTATGACAGAGAGTTGATCCGGATAGGTTTTACTGGGCTAGGAACCAGGCTGCTGCTGGGCCGGGGGGTGCCGAGGGTGGGAATACAAGTGAGGAGACGTTGGACAGCGGTGTCTCTTCTGATCCGAGCTCGAGGGGCACCGGGGGGGTGAGGAGGCCACCGTCGTATGCTTCTGATGATGGGGTTAGTTACGTGGTGGAGGCGAGACCGAGGTCGATGGTGCCGCCGCCGTTGGGGAGTGAGGAAAATGCGGCTGGTCTGCATCCGGTGGAGAGGGAAAGGTTGCAGCAGCAGCAGCAGCAGCGGCCGGCGGTTTGGGTGTAGGGCCGAGAAAGATGGTGCGTAATAATCAAGGGTCAAGGGTTTCGAACCAGGTTGATAATTGTCAGCATCTCACTCGAGAGAGCTCTACCGCCGCCATGAAGTGAGGTTCTGTCGGGTATGAAACGGCGTAGGTAGTCAGCAGCTCGTGATATCCCACATCTGTTCGACGTCAATGCGTGAGCTCCTCAAGCTCGGAGCTTCAGACATATAGTGTCAAGACCAAACGGATACTGTGTAAGGCACAGACCAACACCTGTTCGTCATCCACCCCTACCCTCCTCCCGCTGAAAGGTGTTGTCGGGATTCTCAAACTGTCCGAGTAGTATTCCCGTCTGCAGGCCGCTCATTTGTGATACACGGTAGCCTTGCGAGGGTTCTATATCTGGGGCAGTTTCCATATTGTCGGGGTCAAGCTCGGGACAGCCCTTTGCGGACTGAGAGCAAGGACCAACCCTCTTTGGGTCTTCCGGACTCTGCACCTCCTTTTATTGCCCATTGGAGGGGTGCCAGCCGGCATTGCACATGCGGTCAACCACACAGTTCCTGTCTCTCTCTTGCCGTTGCATCAATCACAGTGTCCCGAGAGCAGCTCCGGTTGGGCATGATTGGGTCGAGAGAGGGGGGATATCGAAGGCAGACAGGGGTCCGTCACGCTTAAGGCGGGGTTTTTGTATTTTTATTTTTTTTTGTTCAGGGCACCCGACTGCCAACATTATCATCATCATCATCATCACCAACAGCATGTTTGATGACTGAACCGGGCTGCCATATATGCATGTCTCGACATATATATGCAGATATCTAGTGTAACCATTTATTAGTTCTCCGAAAGAGAAGCCTCACACTGTCAAGAGGCGAGGTGCAGATCGAGATGAGCATGGCAAACGAAAAGCCCCGCAGTGGGATGGAGCAAGGTTGGGAGGTTCCAGCCTTCCAGCAGGAGACGGCGGAAGAGGGGAATGGAAACTCATGTTGCTTTAGTGCTTTCGTCTCTCCTCCCGCTCTCAGTCAGGCTCTCAGCAGTCGACCGGCACAGCCGTGTGAAAGCGCGCGATATAAAAGCTCTAGCGCCGAAAGTAAACCGAGGTGAGTTACCGTTGCGATTGTCAGCTGCAGCCGTGTCGCCGGGGATGCCCCGCGAGAGCCTCAGATTATCAGATGTGGCGTTTGGGGCAATGGCCGTTTGGCCACAGGGCGAGAGACTGCCGAAGTGAGACAGTTCCATCAAACAGCTAGGGCAAGACATAAGACAGGGCAAAAAAGGGAACAAGACGGCAGGCGAATAGACAACTGGATTGCATCGAGGTGATGCTCCAGTGTCACCGGTCGCCGTGAAGTTGCCGCAACCAGCTGTGGGCACGAGTCAGCGGCGGCGCCCAGTCACGAGCCGCCGTGAAGCAGCATTGCCAAGCCCCAAGAGATTTTTAGCGTGCCTTGTCGCTGAAATTCAGTTGCTGCTGAAGCAGAGAGAGCGATGAGGTAGTGAGGGGACATCAGGGTACTTGATTCTGCAGCAGACAGAGGGGAGAAAATAGGTACCGGTCACGTACCTCGGCTGACGTGCTGACTTCCTGCATCAACCCCTCCCACAGCCTAGCTAGCTCTGGCCTGCGAACTGGCGCTATCCCTTCCTTCCTGACTTGGGGTTCCCATATCCCTCCTTGTTTCCGCCTCTTCCGCCACCTTCTCTCCTCTTCCCTTTCAGCACACCCTTTAGGAAGCCACAGGTCATTACTTTTTCTGGAGTTGTTGGAGAGGACGTTGGACGCTGACGGAAAGAAGGAAGATCGAGGTTTGGAGAACTTTTTGCGAAGGAACAGAAGGAAAGGAAAGGAAAAACTGCCGGTTTTTTATTTTGATATTTTCTTCACAGGTGAGTTTTTTGTGTGGCGCACCGCCTTCTGCCCCCCGCTGCATATCTCTATGATTTTCGACCGACACGTTTGCGACTGGACACTCGGCTCTCTTCATCGACAATGAGGGAAATAACCTCCGGCTCGGGTTGAGCAACCGTTGGAAGGCTTGGACATTACATGGAGCAGGTCTGGCTGGCGCAACTTTGTTGATGGAGCAAACCCTATATGGCTTGGGGAGGGAGGTGGAGGGGCACATCACATCGACGAGGCAGCAACAACGGCAAAGCACACACATTTTGAGCAACAACCACGACGACAACTCCTCCCCACGCCTCTTTCCCGCCCTCAGTCTTGGCTCCCGGCTTCCGGCTTCCGACCTGATGGTTCGTCTGCTGCCAGCGCCAACGAACATCCCAAACTGGCGAGAATTGCGCGCAATAATTCACCCACCGAGTCCAGCCAGCCACATTTCCCCCCCCCCCCAGGGGGCCAAAAAAAAAAAAACCGTTTCATGGAGCAGTCGAGAGGTTAAAGCGCCGCATGTGGGGATCGTCAACGGTTGTTTGTCTGGGATTCTATAGGAGGGTTCTTCATCGTTTGTCATTCGATCACCGGCTGCCGAAATCTATACCTACTCGTCGAGTCGTCCTTGTCTGCAAACGTGTCGCCCAGCATGGCAGTTCTAGCAACACTTTTCGGACTTAACCAACCAACACCAAGCCAGACACCTCAAACTAACGGAATTCCACTCCCTAGCTCACCTATGTTCGGAAACATGTCTTCGGCTCACAAGCGCGCGTGCTACAAGTGTGGCGAGTTGGGTCACCAGGCCGATGGCTGCCCAGCTCCCGCCCGTCTCTGCTACAACTGTAATGTGTCTCCCTCCTCTGCGTGATTGGTTCTTGGCGGCTACTAACACCTCTCACAGGCAAGCAGCCCAGTAAGCATCTTGTACTCCCTCAGCCTTTTCTCGACCGGCAATTCTAACGCAGCATCCCAACAGACCACGAGTCGAACGAGTGCCCCCTGCCCCGCACCACCAAGTCCAAGCAGTGCTACCACTGCCAGGGTGTTGGCCACGTCCAGGCTGAGTGCCCTACCATGCGCCTGAACGGCGGCCCCGGCGGTCCTCACAACCGCTGCTACACCTGCGGACAGCCCAACCACATTGCCGTAAGTCGACGGAATGATTTTGTCTAGAGAGGGAGACAGCGGGACTGACGCGGATTTCAGCGCAACTGCCCTAGCGCTCAGGGCGGCATGGCCCCCGGCCCCATGCCCGGCCGTGGTGGCTTCGGTCCTGCCCGTGGCGGCTTCCACCCCGGCGGCGCCCGCCACGCCACCTGCTACAAGTGCGGTGGCCCCAACCACTACGCTCGCGACTGCCAGGCTCAGGCTATGAAGTGCTACGCCTGCGGCAAGCTCGGCCACATCTCGCGCGACTGCACCGCTCCCAACGGCGGTCCCCTCAACACTGCTGGCAAGACCTGCTACCAGTGCGGTGAGGCTGGCCACATTTCCCGGGACTGCCCCAAGCGCAACGGTGCTAACGGTGCCGACGCCCCCGAGGTTGACCTTGGAAACCCCCAGGTTGCGCAGGCTCCTGCTCCCGGTGCCCCCCTTGCTTAAGCGGGCGGCTCCTCCCATGAGAGTGGGCTGAATGCTGGGGAAATTCGATCGAGGTTTCGATTTTTGACGACTGTTGCATGGCGTTTACGCTCCGATGATCTTTTCCCCCCCCCCGCATCGCATAGATTATGAACGACATGGGAAAGGTTACGACACGACTTTGGGTTTTGTTTTTTCTCTCTCCCTCCCGGCGTTCAACGGTTCTTCTGGCTCTACGACAAAACTTTTTGGGAAACCTACACAACATCAACAACGCTTTTGTTTCTGCTTTTAACCGGACCACAAACATATCGGCCACCAAGACGATACAGACGGGGAAGGGTGGAGGTGGAGGGAAAAGAGATCAAGAATGGACGAAGGTGCGATGTTTATGTCGGCTTCTTTTCGCAAGCAGGAGAATACACATTGCCAGCACCCTCAACCTTCAGTTCTTGTTGTCGTTGTTGTTTGCGGCTTGCATTCTTTCTTGTCAACAGGGCTTTCTTTCGTTTTGATCATCTTTTTTTTCTGCTTTTCGGGCAAAGTCCTTTTTTGGTTTTACTCAATCATACCCCCAACCTTCCGTCACCCTTTTTTTTTTAACACAGAAACACACCCTTTGGACAAAATCGGAAAATACACCAAACTCAGAGATACCCCCTCTTTTTTTTACACAGAAAAAAAAAGATAAAACCACGTACGTGTGGTTTTTTTCTTTTTTGAAGTTGTTGATGGACCTGCGAGGCGCGAGCGATATGAACGGAAAAGAAACGCTTTTTTGGGCAAGACAAAAGAGGGGAAAAAAAGAGAGTGTGGGTTCACTTTGGCAACAAAAAGGAAACTCTCTTTCTTAGACCTACAGTAGGCCGGGCGACAGGGCGAAGACAGGAAGTGGCACCAAAGATACACAAAAAAAAGCAGGGAGGAGGGGCGAAAAAAAGGGGGGATTGGCGAAGAGGAAGAAGGCAGGCAAGGAGATGACAGGGGCGGGTTGGGGTGGTTGATAGGTAGTCTGTGTGTTCAATAAAGGACCAGTTGTGCGCGTTTTGTGTGTGGCAGTGTGTGTGTATTGTTGTGGCTGTGATGGTTAGAGTGGTGTGGAGAGAGGTAAGGGGATGGTCTGGGGAGACGGTGTTGGCTGATGTTGTTCTAGGTCGGGGCCATGGGCGGAAGCACCATGCTCATCCCAACTGCCACCATCTCGAGAATCCAGCTCATCATCTCAACTACACCAAATTCTCAAATCCAGAACGTCCGCTATAGCGTCAACCTTCAGACACCAAGCTCAACAGCAATCAGGTGATGATTTTACGGGGCGTGTGGCTCAGTTGGTAGAGCGTTCGCTTAGCATACTCTGTTTCCTCTTGTATGCGAAAGGTCCTGGGTTCGATTCCCAGCTCGTCCACACCGATATCTTCACATCTTCTTCTCTCATATCCTTCTTTTCGGGCGTGTGGCGCAATTGGTAGCGCGTTCGCTTTGCATGCGAAAGGTCTTGGGTTCGATTCCCAACTCGTCCAAACATTCTGGTGGGAGAGGGGAAGCATTTTCCTTTTGGGGATTGACTGGAGATTGACTGGGGTGTGATGGAAGTTGATTGCTTAGGAGGGTTTGGGGGGTTGTTGTCTCATTTTGGATGTTGGGTTGGCGGTTGGTTGTGTTGATGGAGGGACGGGAGGGATAGGGAGGGGTGAGAGCTGGCTGGTATCGGGGAAGAGATGTAAGATGGGTATTTTTGGCTTGCTCACATGGCAGTTTGTGCATTGAGGAGTCCAAGTTCTCGTGTTGGAACTTGGGGGCAAACACGGCAGAGGACGGCATTTGCATGACCCTCGGGAAGCCCAGCGTCTGCCGTGCGCAGGGTCCTGAGGTGTGGCAGTTAAAGTTTGTCCCCGCACCCACCGTCCAATGCCATCCGCCGCGAAGAGGTGTCTCAGTTCCTTTGGGTTGGTGGTTGCCCGGTAAAACGGTTCAGGTTGTGTCACCGACGATCATCACGGTTGGGGAAGGGGGTTGGTTGGGAAAGCAGTATAAACCCGACCTGGATCTCCGCACTCCCACACACTTTTGACTTTCCTTTCCGGGCCTGTCATGTCTAACTGACAACGAAAACAATGAGACCCCTCGCCACCGCCCAACTGCTGATCTTGCTATCCCAGGCAACCCCCCTCGTCACCTCCCAAGACTCATCTTCCTCATGCTTAGATTACTCCACCCGCTCCCGCACCCGTCACCCCCCCTTCTCCCCCGGCCGGCACGCCCTCTCCTCCGCCCGCCCCTCCCCCTCGTGCCGGACCTTCAACCTCTCCTCCCTCGAGTCTCTCCTCGGCACCCTCCCCATCGCCGACCCCGACCTCCTCCGCCTCTGGCAAAACACCTACCCCAAACACCCTCGACACAGCCATCAAATGGCACGGCCATTCCAACTCTCCCGATAGCGAAGAAGAACTGACCTTCATCATCACGGGCGACATCAACGCCATGTGGCTCCGCGACAGCGCCCGCCAGCTGCAGTCCTACCTCCCCTTGCTGACCCCCTCACCCTCATCTGACTCCCTGGCGAGCCTCTTCCGTGGAACGGTGAACACCCAGGCAAGAAATGTCCTCTCAGCTGGGTACTGCAACTCGTTCCGCCCGCCCCCCGAGTCAGGCATCATTTCTGACGAGGAGGGCGGGGACAAAGACGTGGTGCGTCCGGAGTATGACAGGGCTGGGGTTTTTGAGTGCAAGTGGGAGGTCGACTCGCTGGCTTCGTTTTTGGAGTTGTCGAGGGATTATTACTTTTCCACGCACGATATCGAGTTTTTTGCCCGACAAGGAAATTGGACTGGGGCGGTGAGGAGGGTGGTGGAGGTGGGGAGGGGGATGCAGAGGGGGACGACGTATGGGGCTGATGGGAGGGTGTTGGGGAGTGGGTATAGCTTTGCGAGGATGACGACGCGGTCGACCGAGACGTTGGCGAATGATGGGGCGGGAAGCCCTGTTGCTTCGGGGACGGGGTTGGTCAGGAGTGCGTTTAGGCCTAGTGATGACGCGACGACGTATCAGTTTTTGGTGCCGGGGAATATGATGTTTTGTGTGGCTTTGGCGGGGGCGGCGGTGATTGCCGAGGATTTGGGGGAGCAAGAGCTGGCGGGGGAGATGAGGGCTTTTTCGAGGGAGGTGAGGGAGGGGATTGAGAAGTTTGGGGTTGTGGAGGTGGTGGGGGAGGATGGGGTGAGCAAAGAAAAGGTGTACGCGTATGAGGTGGATGGGTTTGGGGGGGTGGTGCTGGGGGATGATGCGAATCTGCCGAGCTTGCTGTCGGCGCCCGTGATGGGGTACGTGGCCGGTAGTGATCCGGTTTATCAGGCTACGAGGAGACGGATCCTCAGCAGGAGAAATCCGTACTATGCTGATGGGGAGGTGGTCAGGGGGGTTGGGTCACCGCACACGGGCCCGGGCAAGGTTTGGCCTATGAGTTTGGTGATGCAGATTATGACGAGCGAGGATGATGAGGAAATTAGGGGCGCGTTGAAACAAATTTTAGGGAGTACGGATGGGTTGGGGCTGATCCATGAAAGCATTGACGGATGGGATAGCACAAAGTGGACGAGGGAGTGGTTCAGCTGGGCCAATGGGTTGTTTGGGGCGATGATTGTGGATTTGGCGAAAAGGAAAGAGGGTTTGTTGAGAGAGAGCTTCCAGTGAGTTGACAGAAGGACTTTGTTTGAAGAGAATAGATATGGCAAGGCATTGAAGCTGATGAGAGTAAAAAACGACGCCTGCAACATGGCCCAGAGAAACTACAGCTACCATCCCATGAGCATGAGGCAGAGGAGGGGATCACATACATAAAGGGCAAAAGCAAGATGAGCAAATAACGTCAGATATATATAGTCTATGATCCCAGCCTTCCTGTATTTGTCTACGTCTAGTGTGTTGACTGACTGGCTCGAAAACCCTTCCAGAAATTCCCTGTACAAGTTCCCTGAGTTGTTACCCCCATGCCAGATCCATGTAATGTGAACCCTCAATGAATGCCAAAAAAAAAAGAAGAAAAGAAAAGAAAAAGACAGAACGTTGCAAAACAACAAAACAGCTTGACAACCGAAAAAGCCAAAATAAAGTATGTCCGTCGAAGAAGAGAAAAAGCCAGAGAATGGATGAACACAAGTGGTATCAAAATGCGTGTTTGCTTTGTTTTCGCCTCCTCCAAAAGTTTCCCGAAAAATGTTTCCCAACTCCCAACATAAAAGCAGAATCCATCTTCAAATCATTGCACCTGCTGCTGCTCAACCGCCTTGGCAAAGGGATCGGCGCTCAGCTCAAAGTTGGGCGTCCTCCCCTCGCTAATTGCCTTGAGCGCGGCATCATCCAAGGGCAGCTTCCTCCCCTTGCCATCCTTCCTCGTCCCCAGCTTGGCCATCTCCCTCCTGATTCCGTGGTTCACCGCGTCCAGCACCGTGTCCACCAGCTTTCTGGGCTTGTGCTTCGGCTCGGTGCCGGCCTGGTACACCCCCGTCTTGACCAAGATGCTGTACCACTCATTCTTGCTCTTCTCGTTCATGGCGTTCGTCCCCTTGATGTCGCTCTCGGGGGTGTCGCCGACAAAGTAGACCGTCTCGGGCGGCTCACTCTCGGCCAGCCCGTGCTGGGTGGCCCTCCACTGCTGGAGCAGCCGGGTCGCAAACTCAAATGTGCTCACCTGCGGCTTGCCGAACGCGTGCGTCTTGAGCTTCCTGCCGCCGGACACGTCCTCAAACACTGTCTCGACAATCTTCCTCAGGGCGCCCATGCCCAGTCGGACGTGCTCGTGCGCCGCCGACCAGAGAACGTCATTGTGGCTGAAGTAGATCGGAGGACCCTCGTCAAAGTTCTCGGAGCGGGTTTCCAATCTGCCGCCCTTGGACTGGGCAATGTCGAGCATGATCTGCAGGTCCGAGGCCCAGTCCCGGCTGTCGGCAAAGACAAAGACGGCCTCGACGACGATGTCGCTCATCTTCCCCCCTCTTGCGAGGAGATCACGAGAGTTCTTGATCTCAGACTCGGTCAAGGCGCGGAAAGGGGCAGTGGCGGCGTTGGCCTTGATGATGTCGCCTGGAGTGATGACATCCCGGAAGCCGTAGGACTCGGCAACCTCGCGGCACTTTTCTCCCTCCCCGCCGACGACGAGGACGGTGCCGTACTTGTTGGCAAACTCCCTCATGGGAGTGTGGCCGCAGATGAACTGGCCAGGAGAAACATCAATCTCGAGCTGGCGGGACAGATCCCGGCAGCGCTCAGTCTCGAACTTGCCGCCGCCGTTGGTGAGGAAGATGTAGGGGACCTTGATGCCGAAGGGGTTCTCCCCGTTGAGGACCTTCATCGCTTCGATGGCCTCGGGGATGGGCTTCCCGCCGCGGACAAGAACGCCGTCGATGTCAAAGGCAAAGGCGAAGTTGTCGGCGACATCTGGGTCGAGGCTTGCTGGTGTGACGGGAGCGGTCAGGGGAGAGTGGAGTGGTGAAGCGGCTTCGCTGGTGCTGGAGTCGCTCTCGACTGAGGGAGAGTAAGGAGAGGAGTCGGAGTCATCCTCTTCTCCCGACGAGCTGGAAAAGGGGGAAAGAGTGTTGTCGTCGTCGTCGGTGTCTGGCTCCTCGACTCCGAGCTCGCTGAGCTTGGTGCGGGCCACCTCAAAGGCCGAGGCGAAGCTGCTGCTGGAGAGCTGGCGAGGGCACATGGACGGCCTCTGGGGGACCGGGGTGGTCAGGGTGTTGTTGTTGTTGGTTGACATGGTGGAGTAAAGGAATGACTACCAGTCGTGGATTGAGTAGTGGTAATAAGGATCGAACAGGTGAACTATGAGTACACCTGGTGGTTGAGACATTCAAGCGGCTGGCTGTAAGTGGGAGACTAAAAAGCTAGAGGAAGCAAGAGGGAGCCGGTGTCCATATATATATTCGAGAAGCCATCGATGGGAGGCGGTCTCTGGACAGTCCAAGAAGGCGTGGCTGTCTCTGAGGTGGAACTCAGCCCAGCAATCACAAAGCGTTGGGACGGCGTCAAAACAGGGTCTCAGGGTCCATGTGGGTAACGGTGGATATCCAGAGGCGTGGTGTGGGTGTGTGTGGCAGCAACAAAGTTCTCTGGTGTGCCTGGAGAACCAGTTTTTCCGCCGGGTCCCCGTCTCGCCTCCTCCATTGGGAGCCTTCAACGTTAGCTTGTCCTACGCAGCAATGCGGTGAGATGCCCATCCCATGTTTTCTGGTGGCCTCATCCCCGCCGGCCCCTCTCTCCCTCCAACAACCCCTCGCACCAAACAACAACACAGCTTGCAGATGTAAGGGTCCTGAGGGTCCAGCATCCTTGTCAGTCAAGACGCAGGGCTTATCGGACTGGTATCACCAAGTCAGCTTAGATAATGGCTCCCGACTTGGCTGACTCGGTTTGAACCGGTACTGGCACAACTGGGACCAAGAGAAAAACCGGGTCCGACAAAAAGCTTTGATGCCATGGAGGGAAGATCAAGGCTCTACAGGACGAATCGGGGCTTGGAACGTGGTTGCTACTAGAGGTAAGAATGTGCGGTTGCTCAACGGGAGATGGGGCCCTATGACGGCCACCGGAAGGGGACCTTTCCGGGATTGGGAAGTGGTCGGGCGCCCGCGGCGAGGCCGCTGTGTGTGATACGGAAAGATGGGAGGGCGAGCGGAAGTCGGCAGAGGTCTGACTGCCAAGTCGCCGCCCGGCTGTAGTGCCGATCACCATGACGTCAAGGCGGATCCCCCTGAGAATGCCGGAGTGGACCCCCGGAACTGATAGGGTCCTTCGGCCAGGGCAAAAACGTCCGATAATGAACAACAATGCCGGCCAACAGCACAGCAGGAAGCAGGGCAGCCGCGGTGATCCTCCGGCCGTGCTCTGCGTGCCTGCATCTTTTATCACGAGCGAAGCTCCTTGATTGGGTATTCTTCCCAAATCACTGTTGAGCCCGCTGCCGAGCCGGTGAACAACCAGTGACAGAGTGACAGTGTGCTGAGCACTGTGAGTTCTTTTGGATGCCGTGGCTGCCCAGCATGTGAAAACATTGGGGAAGAAGCTACCCGTCGATCGATGTAGGCCGGGCTGGATGAGGCGAGATCAGTAAGAAAACTACCTGGAACCGGTGATGAAGGTTGTGTTGAACCAAGGCAACTGCAGTGAAGATAATGCAGTCACGCAGTTTGACCTCAACACCACTCCTTCCGTTCTCATCATCATGAGTTCACTCCGGCAATACGTCTCCCTTCCGCGACTGGTTGCCGCGGCCTCTATCCGAACGGTGGTGTAGTTTTCTAGCCTGTTTCTGAGCTTGATCGAGGGATCTTAGCTGCAGATTTGGCCGATTCCAACACCATGGCACCATGGGTCCTAAGGGAGCCGCGAGTCAACTCAGGCCATATCCGCCGTTGGGCCTCCAGTCCCTCACTTCCCTCTCTCTTGGGTAGGAAGATATGTGACTGGTGGGTCTCTCTGTCGAGAAAGCGGCTCCACCGGCGGGTGTCGTCCAGCTGGTGAGAGCTGATATCAGATGGCCATCACATCGCTCCCTGATGCCAAATGGAACCTGTGAATCCTCCACGTGTTGTAACTTCCACCCTCAGGATTCGCGCGCCGTAAATTCGATATCGAACGCATAAAGACGCTGTGGACTCCGTGGAACCCCGATCAACCACCGTCCGTCCCCGTACCCGTATTTACGGAGCCTCTCCGCCAAAGGAAAATCCTCCCCGTGGGGAACTCCCAACCCAACCCATCTGCTCAACCGCTTGTTGCCGCTTCTCCCGATCTCTCGATGCCTGTTCCACACTCAACTCCCCAAACCCAGGCACCTCGGCCCTCTCCACCCTGAGCCACCCCCTCCGTCCGGCCGTCACCGCGACTTGGGCGGAGACGGCCTTTGGCAGGCCTCCAACGGGGTTGAAGCCGCCTCCGATGAGCACCGTGCCCCACCACTGCCGTCCCCGGCTCCGGTGGGCTCCGTAGAGCATGTACTCCTCCATGGTGGTGAGACAGGCCGAAACAAATCGAGCAGGTGGCTGCTGTTCCCAGTTTCCCTTCTTCGGCTGCAGGATGTGAATGTGTTCCAAGTCGCTTCTCTCTACCCTCGCCCGCTTTGTCGCTGTTTTTTCGTTGTCTTGCAATGATGATACCTGCCCAGCAAGCGGAGCAGCCAACACCCTCAAGGGATCGAATCTTCCTTCCAAGTCAACCACCACCACCGCCTTGTCCCACGGGCTCGCGATGAGCGTCGCAATCAGCACGTAAACCAGCTCGTAATACCGCCCGGAAACCGCCAGTGGTGCTGACCCAGTCGCTCGAAAGTTGCGTTGCACAAGGTCATTGAGAGCCTCAATCGGAAATGTCTTGGGCCCATATTGTGCATCCTCCTCCTTCTTGACACTCACAGCGTCGTTGGGGCCGATGATGGCGTCGTTGTGGCCGCCGGTGCAGGCAGCGGCTCGAAAGCCCGTGCGAAAAGCGGCAAGAACCTGAAATGAAATCCATCCCATCAATTAGCCTCCACCACTACCACCACCACCACCACCCCCCATCATCATCACCACCATCCATCAAACACAAAACACAAACCACAAACCAAACTCACCTCATCCAACGCCATCTCCTCAATCTCGTCCAGCAACCTCCTCCCCGCCGCCTCAGTCGCATTCATTTTGTTCTTGTTACCCTACTGTCTCCCCAATTTTGCGTGCTCCAAAGGGTCAGGCAGACAAGAGTCCCAAAAGAAAAAAAAGGAAAAAAATGGCCCCGCACGTCCAAACCTTCCCCTCCTCCCAGCTCCCCTCCCACATCCACCACCTCCCCAACAGCTCCCACCGCGCCCGCAAGACCCCCAGCGGGAAACCGACCGACCTCTCCCGCGACTGCGACCTCTTCTCGTTTGTGCAGTACGACTGCCAGATCGCCCGCCCCAACGAGGCCAACTGCCCCGTCGTGTGCACGCCCGTCAAGCGCTTTTTCAGGGTGTAAGTTTTTCTTTCTTTTCTTTTGAGAATGGAGGGGAGACAGTTGCAGTTTGTAGTTGACTTTTTGCCTTGTCTTGTTGCCCACGTGTGGTGTAGATGCCCGATGAAGAACGGTGGCACTTTTACAGCCGAGACGACAAGTTGGGAGTGTCTGAATGCTCTGAGCAAGGGGGCGGGCGGCGATGCCGCCGCTGGAGGGACGCAATTGGAGGTGGGTGCGCAAACAGCAAAGAGATAGCCGAGGTGGTAGAGATTTGATGCAAAAGATTAAGTATGGCTCCTCTACGCAATGGACGTGAATGTCCCACGATCACGCAGCACATGCCGGCAAACATATCACCGCCACATCCCAGCCTGTCACGAACCTGTCCGGCGCTCCTCTCTCATCACCGCGGGGTTGATCCTAGTCCATACACCAAGCTTAGCACCAGGAGCTCTGGAAGCTCCTCCATCGCCAAAGCGACCCAAGTAAGCTCTCGTCTTCCCACCCACTTCACCCAGCAGCCAAAGCAAAACATAAATTCCCAACCCCATAAAACCGAACTTGTGTCGTCCATTTGATCCCCTGTCTGTCTATAACGGATATGATACACTCGCCCATCCATCTCCAGGTCATGCCCGCCAGCCACACCATAAGCACAGCACAGCACAGCAGCAATATGGCCCCCATCCCAAACCCTCTCAATTCACCACCATGTAGTCATATCCCTTAGTTGCCCTGTCTAGCAGCGCGAGCCTCCTCCAGCTTGCGGTAGTACGCATCACGAGCGTTGACCCGAGGCATGTGGTAGCCGTACCTATATTCCAATCCCCGAGATTAGCAAGCCCATTCCCAATTCCCCCCTTCAACAGCTCGAGAAAACAAAAACCTACCAAAAGGCATTGCCAAACACAAATCCGAGACCTGTTTTCCCCAAAACCCAGCCCGTCAGCCAAATCCAGGTCAAAAGAGAAAAGGGAGAAAAAAGAGAACATACCAAGCCCAATGCTCAAATCAAGGATCAAACCCCGGCGGAGCATCTGTATCAATTCCCCCCCCCTCCGGTTAGCCTGAATTCCCTTCTCTTCTTCTCCCCTCCCCAGCTTCAGTTTGTATCCTCCCCGGGACCCCCTCCAAATAAACCCTCAAGAAAAACCCACCCCAGTGATAGGCTTAAAAGCCGGAGCGACAGCAGCAGAGGCCATTGTTATTGTTGTTGTTGTTTTTTCGCCGATCGTTCAGATACGCCGTTTTCGGGTTTGCTTTTCTCTCGCTTGGAGAGAGTTTGGTTGTTGTTGTGGTTGTGGTTGTGGTTGTGTTGTTGTTGTTGTTGTTGCCCGCAGAGGCAGGTAAGCTTCGTTTCGGTCGGTTTCGGTGGTTGATGATGATTGATGACCTGATTTTCCCGTTTTCCTCCTCTCCTCTGCCCGCCCGAACCCGCTCGCGCTCGGCAAAAACACAAGACTTGGCAGAGGGTTGGACACGTGATCTTGTGAGGAGGGGAAGGGGGGAAAGGGTTAGGTAAGCGTGTTGTCATTGTTTGGTGGTGGAGCGGGCGGGCAGGTGTGGGGCAAGATAGGTGGTCATAGCTTTGGGAGCTGGGAGCTTGGGCGGACTGCCCTGGTGGGGGGATGAAGAGGATGTGAGAAAGAGACGGCATGGACTCGTGGATGGATGGATGCTTTTGTTGATGGGGGGAGTCAAAAGGCATTTTTGGCTCGGTTTCGAGATTGGAGGAGATATACACTAACTAAGTATTCATAATGTTTTGTTCTTATAACCCCAGGCCATACCATCACCATCTTGATCAGACACCAGAACTATGATGGCCTTTGCACAACCTAGAGTCTTGCCTTCCAAGTCTGTTCGAGCTTTTGAATACAAAAAAGGTAAAAAGGTCTAAAAACAGTCCCTTTCCCCCTTCAATTCCTCATCCCCTCCATCACCCTTTCCGCACCCAGCCACAATTGCAGCCCCATCCCAGGCTCCCCCATCGCCATTAGCCTCCTATACCCCCACCCTCTCCACAACCCTCCCAAAATACCTCACCCCATCCACGTGACTCTCCTCCCCAGTGGTTGTGAGTTGGCGGCTCAGTCGGGGGAGAAAAGAAGAGGGTTTACAAGTGGTGGATTGTGAGAGGCATTCTGAGTGGGACTTGATTGGTGGGTCATCTTGAAGTTGAGATGAAGAGAGTTGTGAGACGGTGAATTATGGCGGTTGAATGGCGGGTTCCAATAGGATGGCCGGTTTGTGCGGCCCCGAGGGCATGTTGAAGAGTGTATAAGTGAGGGTTCACCGCTCACTTATACTCTTGGTATGTTGTGATCGGGTGGCGTCGCAAGGTCGAGGTGAGAAAGCTGCCGACTCCATAATATCGGCAATAGAATTGACAATACCGAAGCACAAGAGTCAGCTCTGATAATGGATGGCTGACCGGCCTGGGACATGCCAGGATGTAGTACGGGTCAGCTTGCAAATGTGGACTATACAGATATAGCAACGCACCCACCTCCAAAGACAGAACGACCACAGTGTCTGCCACGTATCCCAGTGTCATAAGTACTTTGTCCAGGTGGCTTTTGGTGGACTGCCTTGTCATATCAGCGAGGCTGTAACCACAGCGAAATATCTCCGTGACAACCAGCAACTGCCCGTGAAGGCTTTGGGACCCCGATCATTCGGACAATGTTGTGAGATGTACAGGACAGGGCGCTTTGCCAACTAGATAGAGTTGTAGTTGGAAGTTGCCAAATTCTGACCCAGCTTGAATTCAGGCTCGGAAGTGCAACCGGAGTCACACCAAGGCCATCACGATAACACAAGGAGAGAACGACGATCCAGCCTTATTACGTGGCTCGTGGCACTGGGAGAGATGTCTCACTCCAAAGTAGCACATCTTCAAACTGTCTCGGTTCCTTCAGCTCATTTCCCCTGAAATAGGTAGCCACGCTATGCGTCAAAAAGGGGATGCTACTACACGGAGGAGGGCCTTGAAAGATGTTGATAGGTCTCTGAAGAAAACACAGAGATAGGCCGAGGAGATGCTCCTAAAGCTGTTGCCATGTGGAAGAATAACATGCTGCCGTTGGCACCGCCAACTTGCTGGTACCTTAGTCCTTCAGGCATGCATTGCGGAAGCCTGCCAGGATTCACCACAAGTTCTTCTGAAGGATCATCCGGCGATGTGATGACCAACTCTGACCGTCCGTCAGACGGATGAAAGATTATGCTCCCAACAACCAACCCACAAACATCTCCTCGGTTCAACAGCCACTTCCAGCAAAGGCTCCAAACCGAACCTCCCCCTTTCCATCCCACGCCATACATCTTACTGGAGACGTTCATCGGGGAATCTCATCGCAACCGGCTGGTACTCTGCCATTCCAGCGGAGACCAACGATCAGACGAAGATCTCAGGGGCACAGCCAGCAGCAGCAGCAGCAGCAGCAGCACAAAGAAACAGAAGCGGGGTACAAGGTGTGTTCAGGTCCCTGTACATAGTACAAAGTTTCCCATCTTTGTATCACCCGAACAGACCCAACCACCAGGGCCGGCGCATTGAAGTGCAATTTCCCTCTCTTGTAGCAGCACCGTGGCGCAGGCATGATGAGACCGCGGTAGCGACCCATACATAGATCCATACACCCATGACGACATGCCGCGATTGTGAGGGTTTTTATACGAAGTAAGAAGTGTCCCATTCATATCCGTAAAATCTTGTGAATGCCTTCCCGAGGCGGCAGCTCGTCCAAGACAATCGGCTCTTTTTCCAAACGGCTCAGGGTGAAATCACGTTTAAAGCGGCGGGAACGAAGATCAATGGTACTGGCAATCTGATGTTCCTGGTTTTCCATTCTGGAGTCCTCTCGGGACCTGCAGGTTCGGCTAGGGCATGGAAGAGATCGGCATGCCGAGGGACTGGAGTGGCGCGTGTAAGAGAGAAGAGAGTTTCTCAGCGCCCAGTGCCATGTCTCTGCTTGTGACGAGGGACCGGAGTTGCTGTTTGGTGGACAAATCTGACGCCGTCGTAGTCTTCCAAGACACCCGGCCGGCAGATAATCCACAGAGTTTCTGAAACAGACGGATGAGCGTTTTTCTGCGGCGCGCATTGCTTGTTTCTCACTGCCCCTCACGGCGTGGTCAGGGGTCACTCCCTACAGCTGGATAATCGACGTTCAAAAGCTGACGAGTATGAGGGAAAAAATCTGGGGGACCGGACAAAGTAAAGAAAAAGATGAGAACAGCTCACTCTGTGCTTCAAACAGTGGGGCGCATCATGATTTCTGAGGGAAAAGATGCCCAGGCCAGGTTGTGAGGTTCTGAAACAGCTACTGCGGGACTGGCGATTGTGGTTATTTAGCGCTGGCCGAACCGAGCAGGTGTGCTTGGGGCTGCCATGGCACCAACGCCAACTGCCAACCGTTATGCCAGTGATGGTGGAGATGTAGAGATCCAGACAATACCTATCTGTATCTGTTAAAAATTAAACTAAATTAAATAAAAATTGAAAAAAAGGCGACCTGTGGAATATAGTGTAGGGTATTTTTGGTGGGCGGCTGTCAACTGGGCCAACGGGCGTGAGGTGACAGAATTTCTGGAACTCGATTAAGGTAGCTGATCCTTGTTCAAGCGTCAAATTAAGACATGGGTCTTGATTCGTCGAACCAAGCTCCAGCGATGGCTGGTGAGGGAAGGCAGGCCAACCCTTGTGAGGATCACATCACCTGCACCAGAAACTTGGGAATTGATTTGATGAGATGGCATCTGCGAATACTGGTGACCGCCTCTGTTTGGCATTGACGGACACCCAACTTCAGATGACCTCACCCTTCAGCATGAGAACACTTGGTTTGCAAATGTGGCTGTCATGCCGAGCTTGATCAAGAACTAACGGATCTTTCAGCGGCGGGATCAGCCGTCATGCCGACAGGACTGTCAGCAACGTTGCTGTTGTTCCGCAGGCTGCATCGCTATATCGGGACCGATACGTGTGCAGCCGGCAGTCAAGATCGGGGCGCAGGTTCTACGTCGGGCGGGTGTTGATGCAGGGGAACTGTGTGCGCCTCAAACAGCAACAAGAAAAGCGATGTTTGGATATTTTATTATCTTTGGCTAGCTGTGGAATAGAAAAACGCAAGAAGTTGATGATGGCTGCCTTCCGGCTGTGGCTGATGCTTGGCAGGGGTTGCGGCGCTCTTGAGCAGGGATCCCAGACACACGGCCGTCTTCTTGACCCCAGATCCCGGGGCGCAACCGGGGGTACGTACCGCCGAACAGGAAAGGCCCCAAAACCACCCAATCAGTCTGGGGATGGAACAATTCCAGTGATTCCTTCCTCCAGGGGGGGAGAACTTAACTCGCAAAGGTCCCTCGGAGCCCACACCAGCTGACCTCCGCCCTTCTCTGCTTCCGCATCTCCTCACGGAGTCGACTGATCTTCACCTTCACCTACACTCATTGATATACCAGACACACCCAATTCGATTCTCACTCGGCCCGGCGATCACTCCTTCAGCGCTGGTTTTTTCTTTTTTTTTTCTTTCTTCGTTTCCGCTTCCTTCCTCACCTCACTCGACACCACATCAAATCGGGAAGGGAAGGAATCAGCCTCACACTTCTGGACTTTATCAGGCCCACCCAGACCAAGACGCACAGCTCTGCATTCCTCGGACACCCCCGATAGCTTATGATTGAGGCGCCACCTCCTCATCTGCCACTTCTCGACGACACCATCGACCTCTCCCATCCAGTTCCTCATCACAGACACAGCAACATCCCACCACCATGTTGACCCTCCGGTCTTTGGCCCTGCTCTCGGCAGCCAGCGGCCTCGCCCTCGCTCTGGACATTGGCACCCTGGACCCTTGTGCTGTAAGTCGACAACAGGCAGTATGAGAGGGCCATGACTGACAGTATGATAGCACAACTGTCTCCTGACAGCCCCAACTTATGACTGCCCAGCATCCCAATATGCCTGCTTGTGCCCCAAGGTTGACTGGGGAATTGCTATCAAAAACTGCGTGCGGGATTCAGGAGCATGCGCTGCCGACTATGAACCCGCGCTTATGACAGCGCTCAGTGCCGGCTGCTCAGCTGTCGGTGCGCCTTTCCCTGCTGGAGACATTCCCGCCGACCCTCCTGCCGAGACTCCAGCTCCCGAGCCCACGCCAGCCGAGCCAACGACCGACGTGCCTGCTGCTGCCGAGCCCACCTCCACAGAAACCCCTACAGAAAATCCGGATGGAGAGGCGACATCGACTGCTGTAGGTTCGTTGGCTTCCGAGATGAGAATTCTGTACTGACAATGCCACCCAGGTTGAGTCCAGCCCAACCGCCGAATCCACAGCCGAGGTCACCAGCACTCCTACCGAAGCCCCCAGCAAGTCGTCTTCTGCAGGCGAAGCGGAAGAGACTAGCGAAACCCCCGAGGACGAAGGTGCGCCTGCCGGTCTCCCCGAAGCCGCCAAGATTGGCATTGGTGTCGGTGTCGGCGCCGCTGTTCTCGCCCTCATCGGAGTGGGAGTTTGCATCTTCCTCCGCAACCGCCACGTTGACAAGAAGTCAAACGACTCCGCCGGAGCTGACCGATACAAGATTTCGCCTCCGATGCCGAGCCGGGAGCAGAACCCTTACAACCACGGCAACAACAGCTCCGACTACGACATTGGCGCCAACGAGCTGGAGATTAAGAGCTATCGGTATGATGACATGACGGAGGGGAAGCAGCCCAAGCCAATGGAACCAAGACAAATGGTGTAAATATTGTCGAAAAAAAATGGTTCAGTTGGGTTGATTCCTTCGTGGTTTTTTTTATAAAAAAAAAGCGGGAGCGTGGGAACAAGAAAATATGTCATCGATATCGTCAGCCGGACTGCACAGAACATACAATTGACATGGAACGGGATCTTTTTTTTTGTCAGGAGGCCTTACCTGACTGAGCAAACCAATGAAAGGGGAGGGGGGGGGAGAGGAAAAATCAAGGTTTTTATGGGAGGGCGAAAGATTTATCGTCAGCGCAGCGCTCACAGTGAAAAAAGAGAAAATTACATCAAACAAAGTACCCCTAGGCTTGCGTTGTTCCGGCTGATGGACATTGGTGTAACTGATGTGGATGAAACTCCCAAAGGAGAGCATTGTTTAAAGGGGTGGAAGTCCTGAGTCAGGGGAACAATACACAGAGAAGACCGGGTGGTGGTTGGTTTGGTCTCAAGGCTGTCTTTTGACTCCCCTTTTTGTTCTTGTTATTTATTTTATGATTACCACGGCCGGGCTTTTTTTTCCCTTTGCTGCTTTGTACATAGTTACCAGAGATTTATGAAGTGAAATAAACCTGCTATTTTTGAGGTCAGCCACGAGTGTCTTTCGCAAACTTCTGTAGCTGCTTTAATGAAAGATTACATCCATAGCTGACATACACCGAGTTGCCTGACCCATGCCGAGAGATGGTCTCTCATGAGAAGTTTGGCTTTGACGGACTGGAAAAAGAAATACACGTTTGGTTTCATATTGTACATGTTACATAGCTACTCCTCTTCTCTCTCTCTCTCTTTCCCCTTCTTGGTATTTACCAAGAGTAATGCGCCCTCTGGGCGGTAATCGGCCTGTCAGGCAGGTGAACCCAAGGCCCTTGCTTTTTCCTCCTGTGCTCCCTCTCCTGGTGCTCCCGCACGAGCGTCTTGTGTTCCTTGAGAACGACACTGAGACCTATTCCCACGTTAGAACCATGCATTCACAGCACCAACAAGGCAGGGCAAAAACTCACTGGTAGAAGGCGACTCCTTCAAAAACATCCTCCCCCTGGCCCGATAATCCGGGTTCTTGGCCCTCACGGGGCCCTTGTTGACCCACGCCTCGGCAACATACATCTTTGACCGATCCCCCACCGTCATCCACTTGCCGTCCTTTCTCTGAATCTCCATCTTGCCCTCCTGTCCCTGTCCCAGACCCATCCCCCTCTCGGCAATGGCCAAATCGCGCGCCATCTTGAGCTGGGTGGTCACCTCGGCAGCCATCTTCTTCTTGGAAAACTTCATCTGCACCAGCGCATCCTCCACGTTCTTCCCCTGGATCTGCCTGGCCAGGTGGACAAGCTTCTTGACAGAGGTGGGCAGCCAGGGGGACTTGGAATGGAGGCTGCGCTCCGTCCTCGCGATGCGGGCGAGCCGCGGCTCGAGGCTGTAGGCGTCGGTGCCGTTTTTCACCTGGCGGATGGCGATCTTGCGTTCCCAGCGGACGCGGGCTTGCGGGTCCGGGTCGACGCTGCGGGCGAGGGCTTCTTTTACCAGGGAGCCGCCTAGGCGGGTGAAGGTCTTTGGCTGGGCGGCTTTTTGGTTGGCGGTGAGGGGCCCGCTGGTGGCGGAGGATTTCTGGTCGCCTGAGAGGACGGCGGCTTCCTTTTCGGTGACGGCTTGCTGTTGGGGGGCGACTTCGTCTTCGAAGATGGCAGGGGCTTCGGAGCGGGATTGGAGTTTGGAGATGAGGGACTTGCGGGCTTCGGCGGTGCCGGTGGTGATGGCGTCTTTGAGGTTGGTGGGGGAGGAGGGTTCCTTTTTGGACCAGAACCAGGGGCGGGAGGGGGATGTTGAGAGGGAGCGGGAGGGCTGTTGGAGGGCGAGGGTGGTGGTCGTGGGGGAGGTGGCTGTTGGTTTGTTAGTCAACCAGAGGAGGAACGGGACGGGGAAAGGGAGGACGGACCTCCCCGGACGAGCCGCCGCGTTGGCATGCTGAGGCTCATGGCGGCAATGGGGTGGGCATGGACTGGCGGCGGTCGTCGTCGTCGTCGTCGTCGTCGCTGCAAGGTGGGACGTTGAATTGGAGGTTCAAAAAATCTCGGTCGGCAAATTCCGGGGGAGGTGGGGCTGGTCCTGATTGGGTCACACCGTCAACAACTTCCCCCAACTTTGGTCCGATTCTCCTTCCATGTCTTCTGCAAGGAACCACAATTATTTGCTCCAACTTCTCATCCCAGCTTTGGATTGGTGCTTTTCTTGATGGTGATGTTATTGCTGTTGTGTCTGGTTTTGAGGCTTCAAGTGAGCCGGGCTGCCACAGGCTGCATAGTTGCTCAACAGGAGACGTGAAGTTCTCACACCAACACCAAGGAAATTGTTTGGTGGAACAGCTAGGTAAAGAGGGAGCTGGCAAGTGCAGTCCCCCAGGGCGGGCTCAAAGTGATGGATATCTCTCTTCTGAAGCCCACAAATATGGCTTCCATGTGATCCTTTAGCTCACCGGACAATAACGAGGAGCTGAGGTTGATCGGTCCATAAGTCATCTGCCAGGCTGACCAGCAACACCGAGAACACACGACGGGTCATAAGTGATACAGGTCAGACCAGACCTCATGAAATTGCATGATGGCATGAAGGGCGGGATTTCTGTGCTCTCCTGTGTATTGCGAGCATGGGCAACCACTGGGTTTCTTCCTCTGCTGGCCTCGGCCTGCTCCAGCGAGTCTGGTGGGCACTCTGCCCGCAACCTCTGCGCAGTGGTTGCCAAAGCAAGTCTGTGTTGAAGGCGAGAGCCTCGTCGTCCTGTTTTTAATCCGCAACTAGGGTACCAATCTCGGCACCACAGTTTCCATCAAACAGTATCGACCACACTATCGACTGGCCACTAGTTGATGGCATACCCTCCTCTCCCCTAGCCATACCAACTCGACGACCCAATACGATCACCATGATTATGGCCACGCTGCCCCGGCAGCTTCTCTTCCTGCTTCTTCTCGTCATCTCGGTCAAAATTTCAATCTCGGCGGACTGCTACTACATGAACCGGGAGAAAACGACTGAACTTACGCGATGCAGCAACGATGCAAATCCCAAGATCGAGAGCACCCTGTGCTGTATGCCAGGGGACAGGTGCATGGTCAACTCGCTCTGCCTACGTGAGAAAAAGGACGGTGATAAGCACTACTACCGCGGCGGCTGCACCATCAAAGACTGGAAGGGAAAGAGTCTCTATGACTGCCCACCCATACTTTGCAAACCCGCTAGGGTAGCTGGAATGTACCCCTGCAATACTTCGAATCCGGACACAGGCTTTGTCTGTCAAGAGGCTTTTCCCGACGGTCCTCCTGACCATTGCGACAGCTCCGTAACCTTTGATGGTGAGTTGTCGAGCCCGAGTATCGTGTCCTGCTGTGCTAACCCTGACATTTGTAGGTGGCTTAGAGAACTTCCTCGGCACCGCCAGCCCACTGCCATCCCCGAGCACGTCAGTCAAAGATTCGACGTCCGCTTCGAAGTCCTCTGAGACTGAGGGCAAAGGTGATCCGGTAAAGACATCCCAGGACACGGCCGACACGTCCCTGGCTCATACAGCTACCCGACCGGCGCCGGACACCTCTGATGTCCCTGTCACCACAACCGTGGCTGAGCCGACCGGCACGTCTAATATCTCGGTTTCGACAGCTTCAGGAGAGTCGACGGCTTCAGTAGAGTCAACTGCTGCACCACCCCCACCCTCATCGGAAGAGCCCCAGCAGGACAACAGCGCCGTACCCGTCGGCGTTGGCATAGGAGTCGGTCTCGCAGTTACCATCGCGGGAGGGTTTCTCGTCTTCTTTTACATCCGCAAGCGACAGCGGGAAGCGCCCATCCGGGCCGAAACCCCTCCTCCGCTGGACCCCAGCATCCAAAAGCCAGACAACAACTACTACCCGTTTGCTCCTTACCCTTCAGCAACTCAGCAGGGTTCCCTGTCAAGCCGAAATGACGACTACTTCCGCCAGCCAAAAATACCAAATGTGATGGAAACTGCGGCTGCCTCTCAGCAGGACAATGTATACCCGGGTCAGCCTCGATACCAGCCACCCAAACGGACGTTCAGCCACGAGCTGCCGTGACGCGGCGGAAGAGCGGTGGGATTTTCATGCGGTATGACATGACGGGGGTCTTTGTGGTTTCACCAGGATTGTTTGGTGTAACAGGAACACGGCGTTCTGGACTTTTCTCTGATGATGGCTCGCGGTTATGCCGGAGTTAATCACATCCCTAGTAAAACATATTTTGAGTTGCTTAACCCGAAGAAAGAAAAACCGGGTTTGTGGCTTGCTGTGATGACCAATATCCCACATGCATCTTATGGGCGAAGCGTAATATATGGCTTGTTGGTTGGCTCTTGGAGTTAAAGTGGCTTGTCCTGTCATCGATATTTTAAACAAACAGGATGACAGTGTTCCGCCGAGACGTCGGTGAATCGGGGCTTGGCAACGGTGGCCATCGGCGCTCGCGCTTCCCAAGCTCCGGCTTATAGGCCGGACTTAGACCAATCGAGTTTGGTGTAGTTGGCGGGCGCCGGTGCGGCGGTGCTTTTTGTCACCGACGTCCAAGAGCCTGCCAGTACTTTCGTGGCTCCTTTTTCATGACCCTTTTTCCAAATCCAGACAAGCTGAGGCCCGGATGAGCGTGGACCGGACGGACGAGGTTGGATAGTTGTAGGTGTGAAGTTCCAACATGTCACCTAATGAAAAGAAGAAAACAATGCCCTCCCACAGCCCGACCGAGCTGTCATGAGATTAAGTGTCAGACCATCCCATCTCCCGTCCCAAGTGAATTTTTACTCTCTTTAGCTGGCGCCGCCGTCGAATGTTTCACAACGCCCACGTTGTCAACGGTTGAAGGTCACTCATCTGGTGTCAGTCAGTTGTTCCAGATTGATTGATCCGATTACATTGCAGATGACCGCCAGACCACCACTACTACTCCAGTTTCTACAGCTAGGCAACTGACATATATCACCTGCTGCAACTGCGACTCTACCATTTCGTTTCATCACATCACACCAGAACTGACAGAGCACACACCGCAGCACAGTTTACTGTACTTTTATTACACCCGCGACGTTAGCAAACATTAGCGTACGCTGTCATTTGCTACCACAGCATCAGGCAAGCTATATTGCTGTATCACGGGTGCGGTATCCGGTTTACGGCCTGACTGTCGACTTTCACCAGCTGTTTCCTCACTGGCCGACGATTCTTCTTTTATTAACACGAAAAAAAAAAAAAAAGTCGCCACTTGCGGCCCAAAGACAATTCCCGATAGGTTACGACTTTCCACATCCCGAGTACAAACACACAAACCACGCCGACCAAACCCTCACAAACAATGCCGCTGATACCCCTTCCACAACGACAAGTCGTCATGCCAACCACCCAACCATCTGTATGATTTCGCCCTTTCCCCTGCTACACTCCCACCAGCTAACCTATTCCTCAGCCCCCCGTCCCCCCAGCCCAGCTAGGCCTAACCCCCACGCCCCCCCTCGACATCCCCATCTCCTCCTCCCTCCTCCTCCTCTTCATCCTCGCCGCAACAACCCACATGACTATCTTCCAACTCAACCGCCGCCGCTCCCACAAGTTCCTCTTCTCCGCCCTCCTCTTCGGCTTCTGCATGGCCCGCATCGCCTCCCTCGTCATGCGCATCGTCTGGGCCACCCGCCCGACCAACACCGGCATCGCCCTGGCAGCCACCATCTTTGTCGCCGCCGGCGTCCTGCTGCTGTACATTGTCAACCTCGTCTTTGCGCAGCGGGTCTTGAGGGCATACAGGCCCCGGATAGGGTGGAACAAGACCCTCGGGTGGGCGTGGAAGGGATTGTTTGGGAGTGTGGTTGCTGTTTTGGTGATGGTTGTCACGGCTACTGTTGTCGGGATGATGAGTTCTGACCTTGGGGTCAGGCAAAAGACGAGGGAGGTGCAGCTTTTTGCGGGGGTGTATATGGCTGTGCTGGCGGTTTCACCGGTGGTGGTCGTTGCTGGGGCCGTGTTTTGGCCGGGCGGGGGCGGGAACAACAAGGTGGACAAGTTTGGGCAGGGGAGGATGAGGAGCAAGATTTTCTTGCTGGTGGGATCGTCGCTTTTGTTGACGTTGGGGGCGGCGTTTAGGGCGGGGATTGGGTTTGTGCCGAGGTTGGTGACGGATCCGGCTTGGTATCATTCCAAGCCGGCGTTTTACTGCTTCAACTTTGGGATTGAGTTGGTGGTGGTGTATGGGTATGCGGTGGCGAGGTTTGATAAGAGGTTCCATGTGCCGGATGGGAGTTCAGGGCCGGGGGATTATGGGAGGGGGCCGGTGGTGGTGAATAAGGAGGAGGAGGTTTTTGGGGGTGGGGATTCAGAGGGGCAGAGTCATGGAGGGGAGGGGGTGATGAATAATAGTCGGGGTCAGAGTCGGAGTAGGAGTCGGGGACGGGAAATGGTGGAGGGTGGTGCTGCTGCTGGGGAAAGGCCGGAGAGTTTGGTGTTCGTGGAGGCGGTGTTGCAGAACGGGCTTAAGAAGAAGGCTGTGGTTTAACAGTCAGCAGTGGTTGTCTTTTAGGGCTTCCAAGAGGAGGTGTATGACATGTGGGGGGCCTGTAACATAGACTCTCTTTTCTGTTATTTGTTGTGGGAATATGCGGGGGAAGATCTGTCACATCTGGGAGGTGTTCTGGCTAGATTTGCTTCGAGCGCAGCGAGTTATTTTCAGGGAGCGTGTTTGAGCATGTGCTTTTTAGGGCGCGCAGTCTTTCGAACAGATACCCGGCTTGGAAAAGCTTCTCGCAATTTGAATTTCAACTCTTGCGCTGTTCGACGGGGCTTCTCGTCGATGGCTACACTGACGCTCACACAACACATGAACTGTTCGAATGTGACTGTTGTGTAAATGTTGTGTGTCAGTCCATCTGCCAGGAACAGGTCTATTTTGAGCGAGTCGATGAGATCTGAACTTTGCACGTAATCAAGAACGGCATCGACCTGATCGAACTGTTACAAACACAATGAAGCCGTGCTGACAGGTGAGGCAAACACGCGGAAAATGTCGGAGTGGCCAATAACACCCAAGAAATTCTCCGGCCACGTCAGTGACAGCACGGGGAAGGGTGGCACAGACTCGGAGAAGAACCTGACCGAAAAGGTTCAGACCTGGTGACAATTTCTAGCATGCTACCGGTGGTACCGTCCTGGTCCGATGCGGTAGGTCACTTTGTGCAAGTCAGCGCTGGCCTAGAAATTGAAATAACATGTTGACGAAGATTCAAAATCCATGTGTATTCCCTGATGATATTTTGTTCCTTTTCCTGTTCTCTTTTCCTGACCTGCTTTTTACTTCGTGGTTGCTGTCGACAGTGGGTCTACCCCTGATTTTGCCCCTGATATTCAAAACAAAAAACACAACCGCCAAGCCTCCGATTTCAACAACAGCTTTTGGCTTCTGGAAGGGGAAAAGGAACGAAAAGCACAATGGGGGTTATCCGCCTTCGACACGGGATTTTCGCCAAGGCAGGGCTGGCGAACAATGAATCAGACGGCTGTGGTCGTCGAGGGACATTATGTCAACAACCCCAACATCACCATGATGAGACCATATTATCACGGCATGCGATACAACGAGTATACAAAAATCAGACCTCGGCATCGTCACTTACTGCAACAACACCAGCGCTACCGGTGGAGAGCACACAGATAACCCGCGAAACCAATGCGCTGTTCACTACAAACGGGGTGACGATAGCGGTGGGTTTGGATGCAATCTTTGGGTTGGCGCTGGTGATATTCTTGAGTGGGGTGATCTACCAATGGAAGAGAGCCCAGAGGCTTCGTGCGGAGCAAGAAGAACGAGATGGGGTGACGGATGGGGTGGAGGTTACTCCCGCGGTGTCGGTGTCGACGGTGTCGAAGGAGTCATCTCAGCTGTCCTCACAGATATCCGATGCGAGAGTAAAGGTCGTTGAGGAGCAGCGTGGTGATGAAAAAGGCGGGAGCAGCAAAGACCAAATGAAATAGGATGGCGCATTTGGGACAGTAGGAGGACGATGAACAAATCTCAACAAGAGTGCTTGGCGGAGATGAGCGACTGTGAATTGCAGCTGCTCCCACCTACGGTTCATCCCATCTCTGCGTGCTTGTTTATTGTGTGCGAGGTACCTTTTTGCTCACAGCGTGCCTGTTCAGGCGACTCTCACAATAGGCCAGTTCTGCTCTGCGACTTTCCTCTCACTACCTTACCTATTCAAACAAATTTTTGCCCACTGGTAATTATAGGCCTGCTCCCCCCACCTCTTCTCTGCCATTTACTTGTCGTCCGTTGCGACTTTGCACTTTCTTCTTTTTCTTCTTTTTCTCCAACCATCACACCGTTTTGCAACGCACCGCCACAGAATTCCTTTTCAAAGGTTCTGCAAACTCGACCACAACGTCTAGCACCGTCCGCAACTCACCGCCGCGTGGTTTGGTTACGGCCGTGGTACATAGCCAGAGCGGGCAAGGCTCATCATATACTTGACCACCTACTTTCGACCCTTCGTCCCTACACGGCTGAGGCCTGATCGCTGCAAGTCATTACATCGACCTTGTTGCTCAGGAATTGGCAATTCGATGCTGACCTCAATTTCGGCGGTTGAATTACCTGCAAGCCACCCACGAAACAAAAGATGGCCGTCTTCTCAAACATTTCCTCTTGTGAGGAATCCAACCCAGTCGCTCGCTTCAACCCAGCCCCGACATTTGCCAACGACCCGGCCCCCACGTTTGCCAACAATAACCACCCCAGTGACTCTGCTAAGAGGGTGTCAGAAACAGGCTGCTACTGGCCTGATGGCACGCCGGCTGATGGCACCGCAGCCTCGGGAGATTCAAGTAGCCTCGGGCCCTTCTATCCCTGTCTCGACTCTGGCAAAACATACTCGCCCAATGACTCAGTGGTCTGCTGTTCGTCGGGTGATATATGCTTCGGAGAGGCCAATCTGTGCGGTGTAGCAGACACAGACACAGGCGGCGAGGGAAACACCGCGGTGGCGGTAATGTATCGTGGGGGATGTACCGCGCAGCCAGGCGCGTGGGAAAAGGCACCCGGCTGTCCGCAGAAATGTCTTGATCATGCGAGGCCCTTCGCAAATGCAGTCAACGGCGTGGTCATGGTCATGTCGTGTGACAATTCAGATCGTGCCGACAACTTGACCTTGTTCTGCTCCAATGATGCCCTTGACCCTACCAAGTGCGATCACGATGGGGCCTCACTTGATGGATACGATATTGCTGAGGCTTGGGGTATGATGGGTAAGTGCGGCCGCGGTGGACTCTGTCTCTGACTTTGTGTCTTTTACCCCAAACATGTAGCCCGGTCTTTGCTAACCAGAGTGGCGAGAATAGCCTCAGAGACTCTAGAGATCCATGGAACCGCTCTCTCAACGGTCACCTCCATCCCCCTGGCCAAAACCTCAAGCACTTCAAGCACCTCGAGCACATCGAGCACGACCTCGACCATGGCCATGGGTACGCCGCCTACCAATGTGACGGCTCCCAACTCACCCAATACGACCACCATCATCCTCGCCGTCGGCATCCCGCTCGGGCTCCTCTTCTTCTTCGGCATGGTCGCCCTCACCTTTGTGTGCTACCGCCGCCGCCACGCCCCCGAGACCGAGCCCGAGCAAAAACGGAGCTCCTTCACAGTCCTCAGCGTCAACCAACCGAATACCAAGCCAACCGACACCAACTCCCTCGGCACAGTCCACTCAGAGCGCCACGCCATCCCGGGTCCCCTCTCCTCCAACCCCATCCTCCCCTTCTCCCCATCCGACGGCGACCTGACCACCCTAGCCGGCACCTCCACAATCCCGCAGCAATCCGTCCACACCTCCCCCCATCCCTTCCCCTCCAACAACACAATCCCCTACATCTCCCACCCCGACCCTCCCCCTCCCCCCGAATTTTTTTTACCCAACACGCTGCCCGGGGGGGGGGGGGGGGGGGGGGGG